AGCCAGAGCATCTACACACAAAGTGCGTGCGGGCTCGTGGGAACGCTGGCATGACGAAATTAACCGTAGCCTAATTCCTCCCAAACATTAATGCTGCCTTGAACAACAACAGAAAACGTTTGATCCCATTCTCTTACACGAGATGTAGGCTATCGCTTAGAGCAGGGTAGTGAGGACAAGGTTGCATTATGACTAATTTTATGGATCGTGTTTTATCGCGTGCTGAAATATCCTAACAGAACATGCAACACGTAATCCAGAAGCATAACCTTTAAACAAGCTGTTTACCAGGGAACGGAGCAGACACCAGAAATTCTGCCGGGTTTGAAAACAGGACGGTTTGAAGCAGTGACAGTCCCAGTTGTCTGGAGCCGACAGTTCATTACCATAGCACAACAACAAAGAAACCGCTCAATAAAATTATCTTTTGAGGTGTTTTCTCAACTCCCTAGCTTTGCAAAGCTCCCTCAGACCGCCACAGGAACTTCACCCCAGGAAGGGAACGACTCCCATACATGCACATCTCATGCTTTGCCAACATACACTTCTAAGCAAAATCCATGCGAGAGCTGATAAGACTCCTGTTTCTAAATAAAATCGCTGTTGGAAACGTGCAAGCGTATGAAAAGTCAGACATTATGCAGCTGACTGCTCAAAAAACAGCTAGAGAACCACCACTGGCAGAAACCCCCAATTTCAGAAAAAATGAAGCTTTGTCATCATTGTCATATCAGGTACCAACGCACTGCATTTGTGTATTTTGGACTTGCACAAGTATTCCGTTAAAATAGAGCACTTAGTCATTGTTTTGAAATATGACCTAACTGACTGCTAAAGGAAAGGCTGGTTTAGCTTTGTAGCCCTGTTCCAGTTGTGTACATATTTTGGTTTGTCTAGACCTGAATAAACTAAAATAACTAGATTCTTGGTGTCTGTTTGGTGCGCTGGATCAAACCAGACCAGGAACGCTATTTCAGTGACACCTCGGCTCCCATCCCACCTCGTGTCACCCCTCTCGGCAGAGCAGCAGCCCCGGGTCGTTGCTCCCAGAGCTATCAGCACTCTGAGCACCCACTGCCGCCACCCACCCATTTCTCACCAGATGCCTCTTGGAAAATGCCACAGGCGAGGGGCCAGGACCCCGGGCTGCAGGCCCCAAGGGTGCTCCAAGGGATCGGCCCCAAGGCGCTGGCGCCGAGCTTCCAGGGACATGGGGACCCCAACAGCGAGGCACGCTCCGGGGCTAATTCCCTGGAAAAGTTTCATGCAGACCCCCAGATTGTGATGCTCTGGGGCTAATTACCAGGAATAATTTCATGTAGACCCCCAGATTGTGATGCTCTGGGGCTAATTCCCTGGAAAAGTTTCATTTCGACCCCTGGGTTGCAATGCTCGGGGGCTAATTCCTGGGAAGAGTTTCATGCAGACCCCCAGATTGTGATGCTCCGGGGATAATTCCTGGGAAGAGTTTCATGCAGACCCCCAGATTGTGATGCTCTGGGGATAATTACCAGGAATAGTTTCATGCAGACCCCTAGATTGTGATGCTCTGGGGCTAATTCCCTGGAAAAGCTTCATTTCGACCCCTGGGTTGCAATGCTCGGGGGCTAATTCCGGGGAAGAGTTTCATGCAGACCCTCAGATTGTGATGCTCCGGGGCTAATTCCCTGGAAAAATTTCATTGACACCCTGGGGTTGCAATGCTCCAGGGCTAATTCCTGGGAATAGTTTCATGCAGACCCCCAGATTGTGATGCTCCAGGGATAATTCCTGGGAAGAGTTTCATGCAGACCCCCAGATTGTGATGCTCTGGGGATAATTACCAGGAATAGTTTCATGCAGACCCCTAGATTGTGATGCTCTGGGGCTAATTCCCTGGAAAAGCTTCATTTCGACCCCTGGGTTGAAATGCTCGGGGGCTAATTCCTGGGAATAGTTTCATGCAGACCCTCAGATTGTGATGCTCCGGGGCTAATTCCCTGGAAAAATTTCATTGACACCCTGGGGTTGCAATGCTCGGGGGCTAATTCCTGGGAATAGTTTCATGCAGACCCCCAGATTGTGATGCTCCGGGGCTAATTCCCTGGAAAAGTTTCATTGACACCCTGGGGTTGCAATGCTCCAGGGCTAATTCCTGGGAAGGGTTTCATGCAGACCCCCAGGTTGTGATGCTCCTGGGTCAGTTCCCGGGATTAGTTTCATTGAGACCCTGGGGTTGCAATGTTCCAGGGCTATTTCCTGGGAAGAGTTTCATGCAGACCCCCAGACTGTGATGCTTCCAGGCTAATTCCCAGGAATAGTTTCATGCAGACCCCCAGATTGTGATGCTCTGGGGCTAATTCCCAGGAAAAGCTTCATGCAGACCCCCGGGTTGCGGTGCCTTGCTTGCGTGTCACTACGCCCGATGTTGGGGGCCCACATCTAGTTTGCACCCAAGATCTTCGAGTCGTTTCACAGGCACCATACACACTTAGGGCGTTGGAGCCCATCGGCACTGCGGCCCCACAGCCACTAATCAGAGAGGGGGGGAGAGCCTCTTAACTCCTTGAGTGCAACAGAAGCGGTAAATACTCTGGAGGAAAAAACAGTCTGGGTGATTGATTAGTGCAGTTTTACCTTGCTCCAAGATCAGAAGTGGCTGTTTTCCAGCAATTAAAGAAAGTTTACCCACAATAAGCCCTGAGGACTCATCCCAAATTGCTGTCTCGGTTCCAGCAGAGCTGCCCACCCAGCTTCCCAGCACCAGCGTGGGCCCCCCACCCAGGACAGGGCCCCCGCCGTGGGTGCCGGCTGGCAGCAGCCGGTAAGGCAGGGAAGAGGCAAGATGGAAGACTGAACTAACAGCATCCAAGTTCTTTCACCTCCGAATCCCTACAAACCTGAACAAAAACCTTTCTGTGTATTCCTTATAAAGCTAAACAGAAATACGGCTGTTTCTCACAGCCAGATGGTCAGAAAAGTCCCGTTTCTGTCCTCAACACCTTCCTTTTGTGCAAGCAACTTACTTTTTTTTAAGCTGAAAAGTGAGAAGGTACTAGAAAAACACTTTTCAGATGAACAGAGTCTGGCTTCTCTGCACAACACAGGCCAAGACATTTTATCTAATGAACCAGCGTTGGGTTCAGTAACCTACTCCTGAACCAGCTCTTTTTAAAGAAAAGAAAAAGGAATGAAGGGGAAAAAAAAAAAAAAAAAGCCAATCCAAATAATATTCACATCCACAAGACTAGAAAAACTGGGTTTTAACCCGGTGTTTGCCACTGACTCCTTTGTGATTAAAGAACGAGGAATTGAAGCAAGAGGATGAGGGGAAACTATAAAGTTTTTGAAAATTGTATTTAGTAGAATTCCTATGGCTCTTAAGAACTGATAATTAGGCTACAAATGCAAAGCACTAACGTGCATGGGGAACACCGGCTCTGCTTTCTGAGGAATGGCTGTAGGCATTTCTTCACCATCTCTCAAATAAAGACCCCCGCGAGAACAATCCGATTTTTCTTCTCCCAAAGAAAACGTGCAACAGTTTTTTCCCGGTGCCCTTTCAGAGCAACGCGATTTCAGTTCCCCCCACTCGTGACTGAAAATCCCCCCCGGCCCCGAATAGGAGCCTGGACCGGGGGAAGGGGAATGAACCCCCGGGGCAGGGAAGGGGAGGGGGGGGGCCCCGGGCTAAGGAACCCCCAGGGCAGCACTGCCCTTCCCCAACATCCCCCCCCCCCCGCAAATCACCCAAGCAGCCCGAGAGGATCACTGCAAGGAGCCGCCGCACAATTCAGCTGCTTTCTAGTAAAAAAAAAAAAAAAAAAAAAAAAAAAAAAATTTCCCCCCAAAAAATATTCCCGGGACTGCCCCAAACCCTTGCTCTCCTCCATCTTCCTCCTTCCAGCTCCTTCCCCAGGCAAAAAAATCAAAACCCCCGAAGGCAGAGGGGGTGGCAAACCCCGGCTGCGAGTTTGTTGCCGAAGGTTACACCCGTGCCAGCGCTCCCCCGAGGATTTGGTGCCGCTCCCCGCCAGCTAATGAAGAAATAAACACAATCTGGGCTTAAAAAGTTTTAGGCGAGGAGGAGGTTTGCGTGCCAGAAGCCGTTGGGCGGGGGGGGGGGGGGAAGCGGCTCAGGGAGGGCTGGATGTCACCCCCCAAAAAAACTTCAAACAGCGGCTGGGGGGACGTGCCCGGCCCCCGCGGCCAGGAGCACGGCGGGGGGGGGGGGGGAGGGTTGTGGGGGGGTGTTTGAGCCCCCTCCCCCCCCAAACAGCCACGCGGTTTTTCCGTCTGCCGAAACAACCCCGACCCGACCCCACGCGGTTCCAGGCGCCTTCTGGAAGCGGATGGGGGGGCGAGGGGGGTCCCCCACGAAAAACGAGCCGGGAGAAAAGCGCGAGTGCGGGGGGGGGGGGGGGGGGGCCAGCACCCCCAAACGCGGCCCCCGTACCCCGGAGCCGGTAGACACAGTCCTGTCTTCGCCCGGAGCAGCGCCCATTAATTTTCCTTTTTTTTTTTTTTTTTTTTTTAATAAATCCTTTTTTTTTTTTTTTTTGTTAGCGTGATGGCAAACGGTGAGGTTTCCTCCTGCGGTCGGTTGGGAGGCCGAGAAACGGGGAGGGGCAGAGGTACGAAAAGAGTGGAGGAAGAATTATTTTAAAAAATATTTGCAAAAAAAAAAAAAAAAAAAAAAAAAAAAGAAGAAAAACCAACCCAACCCCAACTTTGCCATGCGAGGCTTCCCTGCGCGATCAGTCGCCATACTGACGCTTCCCCCCCTTCCTCTTTCTTTAAGTACAGACTGAAACCAGGCCAAAAAAACTTTTCTCTGCCCCTTCTTTTCTTGCAGGCACTAGAGTGAAATGTGCACAAAGAGGCCCAGGGAGCCGTGTTTTCTTAACTACAATAGCAGGGCTAATTAGATCATAGGAGCGAGTCAGCGATACTGTAACAAGTAGCTAAACAACACGAGCGAGGAGAGGAGGAAGAGAAAGTTTTGCACCTTCAGCACTCACCGATCAGACCTCCCACCAGAAAGGCGATGACTTGGAAAACCAGCAGGATCCCCCCGACGATGCACAGCTTTTTGGTGCTCATGTTCTCGATGATGGCCCCAGCCATCTTCGCCCGGCTCTAAGCCCCCCCCCCGCTCCGGGGAGGGGGGGGTGGTAGGGGGGTGTGGGATGGGGATGGGGGGGTCGGCACTGATTGCCCGGGCCCGCCGGGAAGCGGCTCCCCCCGCCGCCGCCGCCGCCGCCGCCGCCGCCGCCGCCGCCGCCGCCGCCGCCGCCGCCGCCGCCCGCCGTGATTGTGGCCGCTGCTCGGCTGCATGTGGCTGCTTTAAAGGAGCTGGGAGCGGGTCACATGACGCCGCCTCCACCGCCCCTCCCCGCTCCTCCAGCCCGGCCCCCCCCCCCCAAAAAAAACCTCCCCCCCCAACCCCCGGGTACCCCCCCCCAGTAAGCGCCAGCAGCACCCCGCTGGGGTTACTGGGGGGGGGGGGGTACTGGGGGTGCAGTGTGGTTGTGCGGCAGCGCTGCAGGTGAACGCCTCTTTTTTTTTTTTTTTTTTTTTTTTTTTTTTTTTTTTTTTTTGGGGGGGGGGGGTTGGGGGGAGCAGCGCTGGCCTCACGCCGAATTTACGAAGGCGGTTCGCTGTGTGTGTAAACCCCCCCCCCCTCCCCCCCCAAGTTTCCACCTCGTGTATGTACGTGTGTGTGTTTCCCCCCCCCGCGGTTTTCCCACACCCCCGAGGCTTTGTCTTTTCCCTCGGGATTCTCGCCCCTTCGTTTCTCGCCACGGGCACCCCCCCCCCCCCCCCCCCCCCGCCACCGCTCCCTGGAGCCCCCCCCACAGCACCCCGGGGTTGCAGCACCCAGCCGCGGCTGTGCCCCCCCCCCCCCCCCCCAAGGACCCGCGTCCCGCCGCCCGCCCCGACGCGCGGTGAGGGGCGCGGGAGAACTCGTCGTGCGTGGCTGAAAGGGGCCGGGGAGCTGCTGGGAGCGCTGCTCGGGGCCAACCCAGCCGCGGGAGGGAACGACCGGTGGTCAAAAGACCGACAGGACCCCTCAAACCGAAAGTCAAGTCTTTGGAGGAGCGAACCGACAACCCGAGGCATGGCATAGTAACGGCGTGAAAGGATGGAAGAGCAAAGATGAAACGGCAAAAAAATCCTGTTTCTCACAGGATCTGCAGCTCGGAATCTTAAGTTTTGTTCTGCGACCGGCATCGCAGCGTGTAACCAAATGATGAGCTGTTAGAACAATGGTAGAAACAGATGATTAACCTTGAAACAACCCGTTATTGTGTATACTTGACAAAAAAGTAGAAGCTGAGGTAGGAATAATGGGAAGTAGAGACAACCAACTGCCTATGTCTGCCAAATTATGCAGAAACTAGGTGAAAGCTAATTCGGGCAGGGGTCCACTGCGACCACCAACCCTAACCGACTCACTGACCACCGACTCTACACTCCAAACTCAAAAGAAGAAGGTGGAGAGGGCAACCTAGGCATGTGTGCTAGTTTACATGCCAAGTGTAACCACTTAGTATCAAGGTATTGAGTATGTATAAATTGTGTGTATAAATAATCCTAATTTTGGGGACCCCAGTGTGCCTTCTTGGGATGGGCACCCATGCATGTGCATCTACGTCATAAATCCAAATATCAATATCTCAACTCTGTATGTTGATCGGCTCTTTGCACACCGGGTGAAGAACCCCCATTTTTGGGACAAGAAGAAAGTAGTAACAAGAAAAAAAAAAAACAAAAAAAAACAAAATAAACCCAACAAGTTTAGAAGAAACAAATGGAAAAAACCCACACCACAGAAATCACAGTAGGATTGCAGAAGCGGTGGCAGTGCAGTGTGGCAGCCCTGCTGCCAAACCTACCAGGCTTCCAGCGTCGTGTTGGGTGTGTTGGGGATCCAGAGCGCATCTGCGTGTGGATCTGCTTCGCCTCGGCCTGGTGGGAGAGTTGTGTGGTGCAAGGGTACAGGTAAACAGCGACAAAAAGGAATCTAGAAATTCCAGGAGGAGCAGAGAAGCAGAGGGCACAGGGCTTGGCTCGTAAGGAAAGACCACGCCAGACCTTGACTATGCAATGTACAGCCCACGCAAAGGTGAGCGCAAGGATTGTAGGTATTTGGTGTTTTGCTGGTGGATGTTTAGGAAGAGGGGAGGGGCGTGTGCCCCTGCCCGAGATCCGGACTCGGTCACCACCACCAGCCCCCGGCCTCTGCGCCCATTCCCTGACCAGAGCAGGGACCATGGCTGGCACCCCCAGCAAGGTGGGCAAACTCAGCACCCCCGGCAAGGTGGGCAAACTCAGCACCCCCGGCAAGGTGGGCAAACTCAGCAATCCTAACAAAGTGAGCAAATTCAGCAATCCCAACAAAGTGAGCAAATTCAGCAACCCCAGCAAGGTGGGCAAACTCAGCACCCCCAGCAAGGTGGGCAAACTCAGAAACCCCAGCAAAGTGGGCAAACTCAGAAACCCCAGCAAAGTGGGCAAATTCAGCAACCCCAGCAAGGTGGGCAAACTCAGCACCCCCGGCAAGGTGGGCAAACTCAGCACCCCCAGCAAGGTGGGCAAATCTGGCAATCCCAACAAAGTGGGCAAATTCAGCAATCCTAACAAAGTGAGCAAACTCAGCAACCCCAGCAAAGTGGGCAAATTCAGCAACCCCAGTAAAGTGAGCAAATTCAGCGACCCCAGCAAGGTGGGCAAACTCAGAAACCCCAGCAAAGTGGGCAAATTCAGTGACCCCAACAAAACAGGCAAATTCAGCAACCTCAGCAAAGCGAGCAAATTCAGCAACCCCAGCAAGGTGGGCAAATTCAGGGACCCCAGCAAAGTGGTCAAATTCGGCAACCCCAACAAAGAGAGCAAATTCAGTGACCCCAACAAAACAGGCAAATTCAGCAACCCCAGCAAAGCGAGCAAATTCCCGCCTGGAGCCCAGAACGCAGCCCCCCTGCTTCAGTGCATTCAGAGGAGCATTTAACCCTCAGAGCCCCAGGGTGCCCGGGACATGCAAACACGTAATGCTGGAGGCCAACCAACCACAGGGTGGGGTATTTTGGATGATGTGATAAGGTGTGATATTACCATCGAGATCCTGGATACAACAAAAGCCATCTGAAAAGGATTGCAGCAGTGATCCCTAAATGCTTCTGCTGCTGGTTTTCTAGCACTAAGTCTTTGGCTTCCACAGTTGGTCTTGAAAAACTAAATGAAACCGAGCTCACGTGCTACTTTTGTGTTTTACTTCTGTGATCTTTTCTTGATTTGAGCTAAAGAACTCTCTTCCTCTGACCATCCGGCTAATAATGTTAAGTCGGAATAAATGCGTCAGGGGTAACTTTAGATATTTTGTGACTGCGGGACAGTTTAATCTTTTAGAATATTTAAACTTTTTTTTTTTTTTTTTTTTAGTTTAGTTCTAGCTTTCCTTTCACATTACAGTTATGACTTCATTGTTAAAAATAGCTCTTAATGGACAAGTCCTTTGTACCCATTATGAACCCAGGAGGATCATTCACACAGACCTGCTTCCAAAATCAAAGCCTGTTAGTGGCTTTTTGCCAAGACAATTAAAGACTTAAAACACCAACTACTTTATACTGAAATTAAAATAAAACAACCAACACATAGAGCGATTGCTATTAAAAAGGCTTATTTTGAAATATCTCATACTGATTTTTGGGGTGTCTATCTAGCACTTAATGTTGATTCGGAGCGATGACTTCTGTTATTTTCTCTGTTGGAAATGGCACAAGCGTTTGAATTACGTTGGTTCCCTTACACTCCGTAATCACCGCTGACAAGGAGAGAGTCTTACAAGTCCAGGCCACCCTTTGAGGTCCCACAATTTTCCAAATGCAGGGTCCTAGATGATCGAGCATCTTTGGAGCCAAGAGTGCCACTAAATCCATTCTGCCTTAATGACTCTACAAAAGTTACATGGTGCAACCTTCGGTTAAATGTCCCGTTTGCTACAATCAATTTATTTCTGGAACAAAAAATGTAAGAGGTAGAGCTAAGATCCTGTTGTAATAAAAAAAATCTTAAATGAAAAAAAGTAAAAATAACAAAAACACAGGAAACAATACTTCACATTTATAAGGCGCTTTCCATTTTTACTACATTCCTACATCTTTAATACTGCAAAGTTGAGAGATATTAATCACATGTGACTTTTGACACGCGTCCAAAGGGCGTATAGAGCACATACCACGGTGAGCTGGGACCTCCCTTTTGCCAAAAAGTGACCACACACAAAATTGCACAAGGGAGAAACCAGCCCAAAGCCTATTAGAAAGTACATCTCCAGCCATCGCTTTTCCTTTCCAGCCGTTCACAAATCAGAATTTCTATCTCTGTAAGGTCTCCAGAATCAATCATCTGGGAACTCATCTACTTGCCGCTTATTACATTATTTTTTCCTGACTGCTTTAGGCTGTTTTGAAAGCCTCAGCTATTAAAATAGCTATCCTGCAGTCAGCCCCAGGCAGGAGGAGGAGTCTTGCCACAGCGAACTCTTGGCAGCGCTGGGCCTAGAGCCCAGATTTTCAAAGAGCTGCCTTAAGATGTAGGTAAGGGCTCGGCAGGATTTCCACAAGCTCCTAATTTTTGATGCTGCACGTCTCCGCTACAAGTTACTGCAAAAGTTTTGAGAAAACTTTCTTTGGATGCTCAGTTTGCAAAGAGATCAACCTCTCTGAAAGTTTCAGTGGTTTTTCTCCTCTGTTGTCTCATCTCAGTTGGACAGTTAATAGAAAATATTTGAAAAAAATGCTGGAATTCAGAGGTATTTTCCAAACACAGCTGTAAGGGAAGGACATAATGCTATGAATACAACATAAAGGCTTGGCAGAAGAACATCTATGATCTGGATTAGCAAGTCAAATGACACGATCACGGTAATAATTTGTAGTTTTAGAAAGCTAAAAAAAACCCAAAACTAAACAAAAAACAAACCCAAACCACCCCAAAATCAACCCCTCTGACACAATTATTTGGACTGTTGTTGCTGCATAGTAGTCCAGTATTGAGCTACTTCATTTTTGCTTTACAGAGCAAAAATTAACTTGCTATTATTTTTTGTTAACCTTAGTAGCATTGTTGTTTCTACCAGCACAACAGCAGACTCTGACCCCATACGTAAAATACGAAGTAGAGTAGTGGACAAAAAGCTGATTAAATCACGGTCATCTACCACCAGATATAATCTTCTGAACTCTTGTTTGTACTTGCCTACTTTATTTACAATATAGCATGCAACATAACAACAAGTATTTGGGGATAAAGCTTTGGTCTCCAGTCTGGAGGCTACATTTTTCAGTGTGGGTATCGGCGTTGCTTGACACCATGAGTGCAGTTTCTTGTTTTCTTTGGAATACACCCAACACATTACAAAGTTACCCCTAGTAATAAATAATGTGTAGCTGCTATGGGGGAAAAGAGGATTAAAAGCCTTCAAAAGCACCGCTTACCTCCCAGTACTCCTAACTGCTTTCATAGGTAACTTTCTGGTTTTGTTCTCTTACAAATACCGATACATGGAAAAATTTCTCACAGAACAGGAAAAGGGCGTTCTATGTTATTTCTAGTGCACAGATGGTGGGGAACATTTTATCTTCGTAAGAAAAGCCTTTTCTATGGTTCGTAAAGATACTCAGATGTAAAACTTACTGCGGCACACATCAAAAAAAAAAGCACGTGGGGGTTGAGATTGGTGAGTAGACAGAGATCTGCAACTTTTCACTGCCCATTGTGGTTAGGATTAGGAAGAAAATCGACAGGTATGCAATATTTCATCTTAAGCAAGCCCTACTCCATAATGTAAATATTTTGAGTGATTTCCAAGCCTCATTGTAGTTCAAGGCTAAACATTCATCCACTTATCAGGAACCAGGAAGGCCGAATTTTGCCACTGTTTCTGGGAATGCAGAGCTAGGCTTAAATTTTTTTTTTTTTTCCCCCTGCGTGACACCTTTTACTTAAGTGCCACCCAGCCTGCTAGATCTGAGATCCCATGCTGTTCTTCAGGCTTTACACAGGCAACCCCAAGCTCCATCTCTGCCAGGAGTCGTGGACTCCTCACACAATTTCTTTGATGACAACATGGCAAGAAAGAAAGGAACAAAAACGTACCAAGGGACTTACCTAGCCACCCGGATTTTAATCTTAAAGCACACAAGGACCACAAATAGGTGAGAACAGCAGAGCTATACAGTCCACCCCAAAGGCCCGCTCCCAGCCACTCGGTACCTCCTCAGCAGCACTGGGTGAGTGCCAGTGTCCAGCTTAGGTCCTTCAGAGCCACCATCTCCACTCAGCTGTCCCTCTGTCCTGTGCCCCACCAAGTCCTGCCTGTCTCAGTAAGGAACTGGGCAAGAAAAGCCATAATTCATCGGGTGAGGACCCGCATTTGAAAAACTTCGAGATACCAGTCCCAAATAACTCTCCCGATGGCTCTTCCCTGATATGCTTTCAATCAGATGACAAACCCTCCCTCGCATCAGGATGGAGCTTCAGTGGGGGCATCAAGGCTTCCCTTAAGTATGTGAGAAAAACCCGAGCTGATAATTTGACAGAGCACATTTTAGCTTGTCAGACTGAAAGTGCAGACTTGTGATATCCTGAAGGAGGGGCCAATAACAGTGCATTAAAATGATTTATTAAAGACTGCTTAAACTAGATTTTTGAGTTTTATTTATAGTCTTTACAATTACCATGTGGTTAAGAGGCTCAAGCCCTCCAAAGCAAATCTGTGGAAAGCCTTTTATTTGAGTCTGCCAAGCTGTCTCTTTCAACCGTTAATCCAATCATCAAGAGGCAGAGTTTTTGCAGCGGGATATCTGAAGAAGCCTAGGGCAGATTCCTCATTAGTCTATCACTAAATTTCCAAGTTCTTCTATCCAAACCTCTTCCATAACATAATGATCAACTGGCAGGAAGTACAGCTCTACTTGAATCCTTCTATTTGATTGATTAAGTAATCATCTGGAGGCCCAAAAGAGTTCTCTCATCAAAAACGCTCCTAACACCCACCACCCCTACAAAATCCATTTTAAAAAAGCCACAGCTCAAAAGCCACATAACTCAGGTCACTCGGAAGGTTTCGCTAGTCCACAGTTGAGGGCTGGCAATATACCGTGCTGGCCCAGTCTAAATTTGCTGTACCTATTCAAATGGCATCCCTGGTATTTTTGACAAGCGTGAGTTTGTGTGATCAGCTCGCAGCGGACCACACATCGTCAACTAAAGTTGTGCTCAGCCTCTCACAACTCTCCCGTGGACCACTTTGACAGTTCTTGCCTCTTCTCAATCCTCATGGAAATGCAAGCTCGGAGCTCCACTCTTTTGTCTCAGGACTCTCTCTATAGCCGGGCCTTTCCTCAGCCACCGTCCTTTGGACTGAATCTCCCACCTCGCATCACACCTCTGCGATGGCTTCTACCACGGTCACTCCACCTCTCGTAGAGCTTCTTGCCTCGTGCTGAACCTCCACATCAAACCCTATCCAAAACTTGCTACTTCTGGCATCTACCGTAATATCACGGCTTTCCTTTACAAAGACCATTCCAGTCTGGCATTTCTTTACCTACACGTCTGTGATTTCATCCCCTCCAGTGTCGGACACCACCGATACCAGCTCAGCCACGGTGCAGTTGGGTTAAGGGCCTCCAAGGAACTGTACATCCAAGTAGACACCACGTGCAGGAGCAGGGAAACATCAGAATGGCTTCAAGCGTCCATCCAGGCTGGCAGACTGCCTTGCCCCAGGTTTGTAACCTCCTCAAAAGCAAGCAAAGAAAGTGGGATTACTAACAGATATGGATACTTTCATAGGAAAAATGATGTCCAGTATGCTATCTTAGGACAGTAAGATTTGCAAAAGTAAATTCCTTCTACTCGCTGAATTGTACAAATGTTTATAGGAAAATCTTCATGGTTCAATCGCTCCTATCAGTGTTCAAAGAATGAATTCCAGAGGTTTTTTTGACAGCCTCTTACCATTCCTCTGTTGAGCCTTTATATTCCCATGAATCCAATCCATTCTAAGTTTAGCACTGAAGACCGAATTAGCAGATGCAACTGAATTTCAGCTGAAGCCATCTTTCATAGTCCCAGGAGAAAGGAGCAAATGCACGCAGGCTGAGTGTTTGTAATGGTGGTACCTGCTGCAGAATTATAACACCAAGCAACACACTTTAATTCAACTTTGGTAAAAGCTGATAGTAGTTAATTAAGATGGCAGAGGCACAATAGATTTAATCAAGTTCCAGTCTTGTAACATCAGATGGAAAAAGTTGACAAATATGAACTAGCTTAATCATTTTATTCTTCTGTTAAGTAACATGCAGTTTCATAGGTTGGCTATATTGGTTGTTGTAAAAAAGGCTTCACAATTCTCAATGTTTGCACTGTGTGTGTACGTGCAGAATTACCAGTTAATGCAATCTGAAGACTCGGAAGTCTTGAGAAATTAGAAATTTAAAGTTAAACTAAGGCAATATATGCATCCAGCTAGTGTCCTTGTGAGACATTCTCAAAATACCACCTAAAACCAAACATAAAGCATGTATTAGTTTTAAGGATCTCCTAGAAAGAGACATCTGTTTTGGAACAATCACAAAGGGCTATCGCCAAAACTATCCCGTAATAGTTATGAGCTGTAATTTGACATTTCAGATACGCATTCCTCTTGCCAAATAATATCATATTCTTGCTCTTGGCAAAGAAAATAAAGAGAAGCATACATCCAAGATGAGTAATTTAGTACAATGTAATCAAGGCAAGCTGCCCCACAGACTAGGGACCGAATTAGAGCTAGCAAGATAGGTTTTATTGTCCTCTTAAATAAAAGTGCATGTATTATACAGGGAAAAAATTTAGAAAGAAAAACAGTTTTCTTGTTAATTTTATTTTCCATCTGAGCCCAAGTGCAGGCTTTTATTCCAAGAGCAGATGATTAGAGGTGGGGTGGCTAAAGCAATTATTGCTGTGAGCTGTGTTCCTTGGAGGTTTCCATCCCTGTAGATACACATCCTAGTCAAGGAACCTTCTGCTCTTCAGCTGTCCCAGTTCACAACCCAGCATATTTCTGTTAACTGCCACTGCTTTCAAATTACATCATTACAGTGGGCTGTAAATGGAGGTGGCCAAGAAGCAGAGACAGACCCCGAACTGGTGAGGAGGTGACCCGTGGCAGAAGAGGGCAGCTGGCAGCAAGAGCTGCCTCAGTTGTCACAGATCCACCCGCAATTAGGAGTTACAGCTCTGTGTCCCTGGGCAGGGAAGTGCCTCGTAGCTGGAGTAGTAAGTGGCTGTCTCCATGTCACTGACTATTCTAGCATCATTTAACTGCTCTAAGTAACAAAAACATTTAATGTGGTCAAAGGACTTTGTGTTACTGAATCTTGCCATCCTCATTTGACTCAGAGTCTAAAACAGTTAATAAAAGAGATGGCTAATTTAAGGGATAAATAATCTGTTGTCTCCAATCTTAATGATTCACATTCATACACAGCAGTCTGGGTTATTAGTCAGCCCTCTGCCTTTCTGCTCCCAAATGCAAGTTGACAAAATGACTGCAGCTCAGCTGCCCCAGTTAACAGCTCCGTATTTTTGTGCAAACCCACCTAAATCAGCTGTAAGGCAAGTTCACGTTACGTGACGATAGAGAGATTAGCTAGAGCTGGTCTCTCAGCATTCTTTGAGTTCTCTGCTCTAACTGCAAGAAGGAATGACCCAGATACTTTTTAATATTGGCTTCTCTCACATGACGGTTTTTTAAATTAGAATAATTTCCTCAGTTTGCTATCAGGCATTTCATTAAAGTAAAAGCAGTCGGTATAAGCACATAATCTTGAACTCTGACATGGATTTTATGTGTTATTTAAGTGCTCATTCAGTTTTCTGAGAATATATACTCGTCGCCAGCAAGTGTTAAGCAGAATATTATTTTTCAAAGGTCTATGGTATATTAGAAATGCAATAATATAAGCAAAGGAAGATTACTAATGAAATGATACATTTCAATATTTAAATGCAACTTGTACTGCGATTAAGCTGATGTTTTCCAAACGCTACAATATCTGCTGATGCAAATCACTGTAGTTATTTTACAATGGAATCACAGACGTTTCAGCTGGAAAAGACTAATTTGGTTAGTTTGTGCGTTGCTGTCACTGCAAATTTTTATCCAAGTATATTTACCAGTTCAAGCAATGGAAAACAATAAGCAGAAAGGGTGAGAAGAGTAAACTCTATCCCTGAACTCCAGTGTTGCTCATGACAGAGAACCCTACTCTTCCAACAGCCAAACTGATGACTATGTCATGTCAAGACTGATGACAGGAATGGAAAACCACGGAGAAAGTTGGAAGAACTTATACTCCTTCTTTCAAAAAAAAAAAAAAAAAAGAGAGAGTATATTTTCAGGACATCTGATTCTGTAACAGTAATAAACCCTGTCTAAAAGAATAATGCAAACCATGTAGAATGTGTCACAGTAAGCCACGTTTCCTCTTAAGACAAAACAGAAACCTGAAATCATTGTCCTGGAATGCACCGAAACCTCTTAGCACGAGTTCCTGAAATATTCATGAACATTAAGAAAATAGCAAACTTTTTGGAGAGTGTGCTATTTAGATGTAACTTGCTATGTACATGCCATCCTCTAAGCTCTAAAAATATAAAAGGACTGCTTTTTGCAGAACGTAAATGAAGTAACAGGGACTCGGGAATTTTATCTTCTGGCTGCCACAGACCACGCAATGTTGATTAATTCAGCTCCTCAGTTACTCATCTTAACTGGGAAAATTCTTATGTGACAGGGTGTTTGCTAGTGTAGATCAGTGAGGAGTTCAGAATTTTAAGATGAGGAGATACATTAGGTGTGTAAATTATTGATAAACAGAGGACATACTGAATGTAATAAACCAGCTGAATTTAGATTTAACTTTCCAAACTTCTGCGTTTTTGCTACTTTTGGACAGTTCAGAGGCAGGCACCTTTTAAACCTCAAATTCTTATGTTAACCACTGCGGAAAGGGAGGAAGGAGGAAAAAAAGAAAGGAAAAAGAGAAATAAGGAGATGTGAACTTCAATTGCAGGTATGCGAACAGGCAGCAGCGCAGCCGTCCCCGTCACCACTTCCCGTCACTTCTCTGTCTGAGTTTGTTTCTCATAGTATGGGGCTACGTGCCTCTGGTTAGGCAAGTCAGGAGCTCTCCCAGTGTGAATCAGTCATACTGAAGGAGGTTTAGAAGCATGGAAACAGCAACTTCACGTTAAGTGGCGTAAATAAGTGCTAAAGAGACCACTGTTGAAATGTTTATGCATTTTGCAAAGGCACAAATATTTGGAGAATAGCGAAAGACACTGCTTGGCATAGGCAGACAGAAAGCGTTTTACCTGATTACTTGTCCCCGGTTCCAAAGACATTTCTGATGGCAGCAGCATCAGCTGAGGCAGCCTCCCCTCTCGCCAGCCCTGCTCCATGCTGGTAAAGCTTTTTGTGGTACCGTAGAGTGAAACCACGCAAAAAGGCATGCTGCAGAGGGAGAAGAGACAAAAGAAGAGGAGAAAGAGAAGAGGAGAGGAGAGGAGAGGAGAGGAGAGGAGAGAGGAGAGGAGAGGAGAGGAGAGGAGAGGAGAGGAGAGGAGAGGAGAGGAGAGGAGAGGAGAGGAGAGGAGAGGAGAGGAGAGGAGAAACGGAGAAGATAAAAAAGGAAGAAAAGGAAAGAAATAGGAAGGAAGGAAGGAAAGAAATAGGAAGGAAGGAAGGAAGGAAGGAAGGAAGGAAGGAAGGAAGGAAGGAAGGAAGGAAGGAAGGAAGGAAGGAAGGAAGGAAGGAAGGAAGGAAGGAAGGAAGGAAGGAAGGAAGGAAGGAAGGAAGGAAGGAAGGAAGGAAGGAAGGAAGGAAGGAAGGAAGGAAGGAAGGAAGGAAGGAAGGAAGGAAGGAAGGAAGGAAGGAAGGAAGGAAGGAAGGAAGGAAGGAAGGAAGGAAGGAAGGAAGGAAGGAAGGAAGGAAGGAAGGAAGGAAGGAAGGAAGGAAGGAAGGAAGGAAGGAAGGAAGGAAGGAAGGAAGGAAGGAAGGAAGGAAGGAAGGAAGGAAGGAAGGAAGATGAAATAGAAAGAAAATAAAGGAAGGAAGAAGGAAGGAAAAGAGAAAAAAAGAAAAAAAGAAAAAAAAAAGAAAAAAGCAGTGGAGGGCAAATTGTTTCCAGGTGTAGGCTCGGACTGTCTCATGTTCAATGGCTGGGTTACTTACAGTGTCACCCAGACAGGCACTTTGTCCTGTCTCTGCCCTGAGACAGTAGGAACTGATCTGGGTGAGAGGTAATTTTTTTGCTAGAATAGGGAAGTAGATTTTTGTTTTTCTAGCTGGATTGATTTCCCATCGGGTTCATCAAGGGGCTGGGCAAACTCTTGTACAAGCGTTTTTGTGGGGTGAACGGGATGAGGAATTCAGCCATGTTAAAAACAAACAGGGGGGGCGGCGGTGGATGTTAGTTATTTTCGTGCTCCCAACCTAATTCACAGCTTGGCTACACCAACGGTTTCACCAATATCCCATTACGGCACATGAAGAAGCAGGACCCGTGCGTAACCCCTGACAGTTACCGAAGGGATTGCCCCTCCAACGCCAGCTTGCCCAAACTCTCCCACCCAGCAGAGCCCGGGTCTCTCCTGTCCCGCTCACTCTGTGCAGCAGGTTTTGCAAATGGAAAGCTACCGCGTGAAGTCCTCCTATTCTGCTCCTTAAAAGATGTCTTTTGACTCCGGCACTTACCCATCCCGAGGCCCAGGACGCCTCTGGGGGGCTCGTCCTGCCTCCAGAGCCACTCTCCTGCCCGCTGCTGCTGGGAAGATGGAGATGAAATGAGAATTTGCCGGATTGCTCCAGACAGAAGAAACCCCAGTTCCACCCCCCCCTACCAGAGCTACTGCCAAGGACTTTCACAACCCAGATTCCTCCCCACTGACCGCTGCCGACAGCATGGTAGATGGAACCAGCTTTTTGTGGATTTGGAGATAACCCAGCTGGTCCTTTGGTGCAGCTAGGCTTACAAGCCGGTTTTATCGTTGGCCCTCTTACCCCAAATCCTATATGATAGAGGCTGGCGCCAGCCCCGGGGGGGGGCCTCACCCACCCGTTTAGCCCAGCCTAAAGCATCACCTTGACACCAGGTGGCAGCAGGAGATCCAGAGACAAACCACACAGTTGAGTCCAAAAAGAGATTTGTGTCTGGAGGACCAGCTTGTTGATTTACAATAACCCCCCTCCACGCACTGCGGAACACGTACGCAGGCAGCGCTTTCCTCCTGTTTCTAATCTGCTAATTTATAGTTGCAGAAATGCAAGTCTTCTTGGAATGAAAATATAACCTCACAAGGGGAAGGCAGAGTTAGCGGTCACTTCTTTTCAGTGAGTACATGACACTGCTATGCAATCTAAGAACACGGAGGGTTTTGTTGTTCTCCATTAAGTCGAGTGGCTTTCCTTTCTCTAGATGTACTTGAAGACAAAATCCAGCAGAAGCTTTGCAGGATGGCTGGGGCATGAACTGTTCTGAGCCAGCAGGAAGCAAACGCCGTGTGTGTTTACCATGGCATGCCTATTTCTAGCAACACTCTCTCACAAGTCTCTTGATCACAAGTCTAATGTTGTGAATAACATTCTGATCTGGAGGTCTGTCTGTAAGTGCTATTTTTATAGGTGTAGCAACTTGTTTTGGATTCAGTTATTTCAAAAAATAGCAGCCAAGCTTCCTAAACTGTGCTTAACAAAATTATTTGAATGCATACATACATATATATATAGAGAGAGATACATGTAATGTCGAATTACATCCTTGTATTTTTTCCAGGAGCTTGTTACTGCCTAATAATGCCTACTAACATGCAATGAGGACTGCTGCTCATGCAGCAGGCAGCAAGAATTGCTCATGAAACAGGACTCCATCTGATAGAAAGGTAGAAAAGTCCCAGAAATAAACATTCTTTCTTGTGCAATGATGTTTCTACTGAATGTTGCATTTCTGTCCAGGTACTACTGGTGGTACCATAGGGTTCAGCATGGTGTCTGTCACAGTTAGTTCATTAGATCTTCTCAGATCAAACTTAAATCTTTAACCCAAACCTCCCATTGTATACCATATTTGTTATGTGCAAAAGAAATAGGAATAAGGGAAATTTATTTCTTTACATACATTTTTAATGCTTATGACCATTTAGTGAGTGAAGGCTTCATCTTCCGAGACTATTATCAATACCTGCCTCAGTCAACAGCAAGAAGGAAAATGAATTTTTTCCAGCGGACATTCATCATCTTTAAAACAGAACTGTCATTAAGACGGACCCCTGCCAAAATATCTGACGTTTAATGTACTTAAGATACATTATTCATGAAACTTTCACAAGGAAATAGATGCAATAAGCCAAAAGAGGTCTGTTAGACAGACAAGGAGAAATCAGAATTCTCCTGGCCCATTTGCACTGTCAGTTGAGTTTCTGTGGTTGTTTTTAGATCGCTGGTCCCCTCATCCTGTACCAGCGTCTGATTTTGAAAGCCTGTTCACTTTTTCCTAACCTGTTGACTGTTCAAATTTGGAACATGGTGGGAGGTTCAGGGTGAAGTTACAGGAGATGGAGCGAGCTGATCTGATAGCTCTCTGACCCTTAAAGGGGGAGGAACCACTCCTCCTCCTCACAGCCACGCATCCCTGACACTTCTCATGTGCTGGCTCTGAAGCTTGTTGGGCCCCTCTGGTTGCTAACCAAGCAGAAAGCACCCTTTTTATCTTGCAAAGCCGATAGTTTCTTGCCAAACGGGGAGTTAAATCAGCTCACCAAAAGGTCTAATGAGTGCTATAATTTGAATAGGAGAGTGGAAGCAGAATCCTAAGGCTTGGGCTAAAGGAAAGGTAGAAACAAGAGGGAATACAGCCTCCTCCTTTTAGATCGCTCATCAAATCACACACAAAGTCTTTGTATGCTTGTGATCCGTAAAAAGAAAAACCTGTGAAAATTAACAACAAACAGTCCACAGTCCAACTAGCACAGCTATTCTGCCAGCTAGGAGTCGTCAGAGCTGCAAAGCGACTGAAGTGCCTTCAACCAAAATGCTTTATAAACAGGGGTTCAAATCTTGATTTTGGTGCCTGGTAAGACAAACGCAGCCGCAGCTCTAGGATGGAAACGTGCCATAAGCAGCCCTGACAAGGTTATGAGGAACTAGAACTGCTCCCGCCTCAGGACGGGTTTTGTTGAAGTCTAAACTCCAGATGTTCAGCCCCTCTATTCTTGTGCTTTGGCGAAGAACAGGGACCATGACTTTAAAGCAGCTTTACAATTCCTATACGCTGCGCTGTACAAGGGCCTGAGGTTGCTGTAATTACACCCGAGCCCCAGCCCCAGAACACTGCAGGGCTTCTTTCCAGGTACCTCTCCTCCTGCCACCTCAAACACCGCGCGGCTGAGCCCAGCGCTGGTACAAAGCCCTTACATGAGTTTTATCTGACTGAGAAAGCTTCTGGTACAATTGGTATTCTCAAGTGGTGGTTTCCACCCAATTCAAAAGGACCCATATAAACCCAGATGGTTTTGATTACAGGATGCCTTGTTTGTGCCAGAGGTCTGAAACCTCCATCCTCCCCTGCCTGTAGGAATGGGTGCTGAGAAGGAGGGCAGGTCCCCCAGCACGCCCACGCGGGCGGCCACGGGGATCCGGGCTGGGTGGGAGATCCAGGCAGCCTCAGGCATCAAACAATACTAAGCAGTGAAAATGCTCTCAGCAGAAAGGATCTTTAGAAGAAACCGAGAAAGAAAAACCACAATAAGCGCTGACTCTGCTGCTGCATGGCTGCCCACCCCTTTAGCAACGCAGGGACCTCTGCTGACCCCCAGGACACCCCCAAAGCAGCTCCCGTAGCCCGTGCCAAGGGCTGCAGAGGGGCCACCCGACAACTTCTGATTGCAGCCTGACTGAGCAGCCAAACCAATCCGCCCTGCTGGGTTTTTTCACCATTTCTTATCAAAATACCGACCTGATACAGGGAAGATCTTACAAAACATAACAAAGTCTGCTGCTGCCAAGGAATGATTGCTTCTAGCTAACATTTATTTTTCCACAATTATACTCAGGGCTGTTGAGGGCTCAGTTGTCCTTTCGAGACAGACCAGATCAAGGAGTGGTGCATACAGTACATCATCCCAGGATAAATCCGGGGAGGCTCTATGACTCAGAAATGAGTCACTGCTCCTCCTCTGTTTCTTCCAGACTCTTGGGGGCGTACTAATTTATTGTCGGTCTGTATCTGCAGTAAATTATTACCCCCAGCTCAGCTATCCTGCGCAGAAGGAATTCCGACACGTTCTGCTCGTCCCTTCGCCTCCCGGGAGGGGTAAATGAGTGAGCAGACGCACCGCACACCGAGACGCTGGGGCTTGGTAACCTGGGCAGGGATCGAGGAGGAGAGCAGAGAAACCGGGGAGTTATTTTTTTCCTTCTTGAATGACACGCTGTCCAGGTTAATTATTTGGAGCTAGATTGTTCCTACCAAGTCCCCCAAATCCCAATTACTAAACTAAGATTGACCTTTCAGAGAGTTATTTCTAAGAACTCGGATAAAATAAGATAGTATGACTCAAACAACAGGAGGAAAGTGTCTGCATCACAGTTAAGCCACACAAATTGCTCTCACTGTCAGAATCAAGTATTCTAAAAAAAAAAAAAAACAACCCAAGAATGATTAATCTTTTTTTCTCTTTAGCAAGACAGATTGAAGTATCCCAGTGGAGCTAGACAGGAAGCGTTTAAACAATGCCTACTTAGTCTCCAGAAAGTCTTCACCAGTAGGAATACAAGCTTTAGGTCAGAAAAGAAAACAGTAACTAAACAGATTTTTACATATGCATGTACAAGATAAATATATTCTGAGAATCACAGAAAAGCATGAAAAGGTACTGAATAGCAAACAGGCCTGCTCAGATCTTCACATCCAAAGCTGAAGAGCCTGAGGACACTAGGGATACAGTAGAAATGCATAAAAATACCATTTTTCCAGTGGCAATGCTCATTTAAGAATTATCTTCCCCCATGTCATTCATCTTCATCCCCATGCTCATTTTTCCACCCCCTCCTCCCCTGGTCGTGTTTCACGAGATGGTTTTTTGTACCACCCCAGCACAACTGTTTGCATGGCCAAGTCGTAAATTCTGCAAAGACAGGTGCTGAAGTGGACCTGGAATGGCCTTTCAAATCACAGAAAGAAAGAAAAAATAGTTGCAGGATGGCAAATGGCAGTGAAAGGGAATGATGATTTTTGGAATTATCTATGTTAAAATGTAAAAAAATCCCCAAATCCCAGATTTCTAAATACTTTGAACATGAGTATATTAATGCTTAAAATCATATGTACTCACAAATTTAATTAATATTATAAATTATATCTAAAATAGATTGATTCTCATCTTCATAAAAGATTGCGTATTTGCTTTCGCCACACTTCTGATTAGCCTTGGCACAGGCTGGCCCTTGAACTTAAATTGGCTTAAAAGCACTGGTTTACCAGTTTTTTCCTCCTTTTTCACCATCATTACTGTATAGAAAATGATTCTGCCGGCTGCTGACTGTGATGTGCCAGATCGCTGGCGGTCAGCCCAGCAGGGGATTACTGGGGATCACCGTCTCCATGGAAGGAAACCTGGAGGGACGCGTTTCCAACAATGCTGCAGCCCTAACGAGCGCCCCGTTTTCTGGTAAGACCCAGCAGTGAGGCTGTCGGGCCACTGCTTCGTGCTGTGCTGTTCTAACATTCGTTTGTCGCAGCGTTTCTCGCACCGGTTTGATGTTTGCCATGCAGTGGAGCACTCTTCTGATAAATATGGTACAATAAACAACACCGGCTCCCACCCAGTGACTCCTGTGTATGATCACAGCACAGCTACGTAACAGTACTACTCATGGGCAGCGCTGTGGGGGCTGGAGGAGATGATTAATACGTAGAGTGGGATTCTGTGAAGGAAGGAGAAAAAAAAAAAAAAAAAGGAAAAATTCAGCTCTATCGGTGGGTATTTTACCACTGTGGAGAACTACAACAATAAGTCATAACTGAACAATGACACCCTAGGGAAACCAGAATCCCCCATAAAAAGCTCCTTAAGAATAGCTTCACAGAAACCTCATTTAGGAAATTCAAGATCAGAAAGTGAACAACCCTGAAGCGGACAGGAGCCAGGCCATCGATAAATCCCCCCCGTCCTGGGTTTCTGTGATGCTGCGGCCTAACGTTCAAAAATATGCCTCTTCTAACTCCCTCTTAGAGGCCTCGGTAACTCCGAAAACCAGGCCGAAAGCCGGGAGAGCGAGGGAGGGGCGCCTGAACCGGGATCCCCCCGCGCCTGGCCCGGCGGGGGCAGCGGGCCCGGCGGCTCCCGCCCAGGCCGCTCGGTGCCCCGGGCGGCTGCGGCCTGCTCAGGCTGCGGCCTGCTCAGGCTGCGGCCTGCTCAGGCTGCGGCCCGCCCGCGGGCCCGCTCCCACCCGGCGCCGGCCCCGCCGCCCGGGGGGAAGGAAGAGAGCGCCGGGACCCGCAGCGTTCCCCCCCTCCCTCCCCGATTAACCCCCGGCTTCCCCGCTGCGCCTCAGCGAACCGCGCTGGGGATTCGTAGCTCTGCTGGGGGGGGGGAAATCGGCCGATTTCTTTGAGCCCCCCCCGGGGGGAAGTGAGCAAATCACCAGCGGGCAGCGCCGCCGCGATGTCATGGGCCGGGGCGCGAAAGCCCCTCGCCTCTGCTCCACCCACAGTTACCGATTCTTTTTTTTTTTTATTTATTTTTTATTTTTTTTTTTTCTCCCTGTGCCACGGGGAGTGGGTGCAGGGGAGAACTTCACGCCGCCGCCACGGGCTGTAGCTTTGCAGGCGAGTTCTAAAGCAGGCCCCGACCTCCCTAGGCGAGGTCTAACGCAGACTGGCCGAGTTACAAGAAAAGGGATAACGAATGTTTAAGCCAAGATCTTGGGAGCGCCGAGGCAGCTTGGCTGCAACCTGAAAGGTGATTTGAGGGGGAAGGTAAGTGCGTGCCGGGGTGCAAGGCCCTGGGGTGGGTCCAGCCGCACCCCTCAGTGGCCGCCCCAAACCCTCAGCCCCAGCCCCCTCCTTCCTTCCGGGCCGGACAGTAATTAATTATCGAATTAAAGGGTCCTTTTACAAATGAGAGTGAGCACAGGCAGAATGGTGGGAAGGCTCTGGAAGTGTTACACTTCAGAAATAAACCTGAATCTTAGGAGAGAGTCTCTAAGGGATCCGACCGATGAACCAGGTACCTACAGACTGTGTGAAAACACGCATGTGAATTCCAACTATAATTATACAGGCCTTGCTGTAAAATACCACCACCATACTACCCGCATGCTTGAAAAAATTCTAAGGCCTCAGATGCTCGTAATTAAGATGAAAAGAGTTTGAAAGAATGCATCTCTCTCTGTTTCCCCAAGTAAGCTTTTCTAAAAGAGAAACACATTTTCTTGCAGCGTGCCTTTGAGCCAGCTCCAGTTTCTGTTTCCAAGATCCAGAGGAAGGAACCGTGACAGATGATCTGTTTTTCCCACCGGTGTGATTCACACATAGCTAGTAATTGCTGTCATTTATAAATCAGCAAATACTGCGAGATTTCATAAATTCTTTTTACTGCAGTTTTGTTATTGTTTTGTGCATGTTCTGAAAATGATAACTCTGAGAATATTTAGGTACTACATTTATATATACACAATTACACAATTCTTGTATAATTTATACACAATTAATAAACATTCACAGGAAAACAGAAACTGGCATCTGGATTATTTGGCCAATTATAAAGATGAAACACACAGTTCTGAATATTGCACTGAAAAAATCCACAGCAGGTAACTTATGATCATGTTGTAGCAAGGCCAGAAATGAAAATGCGTAATTTCAAATACTGTTGTAATTCAAATCTACGTACAGACAAAGTGGACTCACTGGGTAAGCCATTCTCTGTGGTTTAGTTACTGAGCCCGGCCAACAGCTTGCACTTTTCACTTAATCTTTTCTGTGAAGGTTTGGAGGGTGAAACTGTTTTTCTGAGCAGCTGTAACTAACCCCACTCTGCATAAGCTACCCGTTCTGCAGTGCAGCCAGCTCGCAGGCTCCCGTTTTCTCTTTTTTTAATACATTGCTATTGGGTTTGATTCAGGTTACGTAATCTTTTTCACTAATTTTATACCTTTTCAAATGTTGCTGCTGAGTTCTGAAGAACCAGAATGCTGCTGCACTTCTGGTATAAAAATTCCTGATGCACTAGCCACTCCTGCAGTAGATAATTATTACTCTGGCATTAATGAAGCTGTTAAGTATACTGCTGCTGTTCTGCTGAGACCAGTGGATAATGGTCAGAGACCTAAAAATGAAAAAGTTGGATTATATTTTCAAAGCTAAAAACATTACAACTGGAAATCTCTTTGAGGCTTTTGTGGAAAAAATCACTCTGCTAACAGCATATCCCAGCCATGGTTTCTTGGCTTTCTATGCTATCCTCTCCGTGAACGTTCCAAAGTTCCCTGTTTACAGGGATTCTCGGGTCACCAGTGTGGACTGGATTTACTGGAGGGGCAATGAGGACTTACACATGCAGTCCCCCAGCTCCATCCACGAGCAGAAAACCCGTTGCTCCATCTCCTCTCTTCGTGTCACGGATACGTTAAGCCTTACAGGTACTTCTCATCCCAGCGCCAAAACCAGAGGAAACCAAGACAACATGATGAAGCGATATGCTTACTGCCACAAAGCAGGACCAGGGCTGGAACCAGAGAGTTTCCACTTCTAGCTACAGAGCTTGTTCTCTGACAGTCCTGATTTTACCATGCTGCTATAAATATTGGATTAAAGTATCTTGCAAGGGCAAAATTTAAATTTCCTTCCATTTCCTCAGCACTGCTCATTCTGTTATCCAGAATAGCTTCTTAAAAGTACCAGGCTGCTTCCAGTTTGAAAGCCTGTGTTCCTTTTTTACTTTATTACTAACAATATCAGCTAAAAATGACTCCCTTAGAATTGAGAACCCACTGTTAGGTGTTTTTTGTCATCTTAAATGATTAAATTGTGGTCATGAAGGATGAATGCTGAAAAAAGGATCTTGTCAGACAAAATGGGCAAAATCTGAAGGCCCCTTTCATGCAACAACGAGGCTGAGAGCTGCAAAGGAACCGTAGGTGACCCCAGTTCAAAAAGATTTTGAATCAAAAGATCTATCCAGTGACTTAGAGGTTTCAAGAAGGCTTTATCCATTGCTGTGTTTTAACAGCTGTATTGAACAATCTCTGAGAATCTTACAGTCCTCACTTTCCAGCCCAGCTGAAGAGCTCCCCCGCAGCGCCGGCGCCTGCAGTTGTTGAATAAATGTTTCTCACACTACAGCTCAATTAAGTCAAGGGTGTGAGGGGGAAGATGATCCAAGTAATTCACTAGCCTGTATAGCAGAGGTAACCCACAGGAGGCCGGAGAATTCAAAACCCTTCCATCCATCTTTTAAAGAGAACCTTACATCAAAACAAGGGTGTTTTCACTCTGATTTTTCTTTTTCGTTCTTTTTCTGGCATTGTTAGTTGTTCCCTGTTTCACAATCAGCATCATGGACCACATACATAATTTGTAGTGCACCAAGCTAAGCTAAACGTGTTACCAGTAAGTAAAATTGTAACAGAGCAGTGTACCACGATATAATATTGCAAGGGAGTACGTTCAAACCAAGTATAAAACAATTTCAGCACGAAGATACAACAGAATTTGCTGTAAGGATTTACAAAAATATAAGTATTGCATAAAGGGATCTGTGATGACTATTAATTTTTTATCATGTTTCCATTTTAGTCCTAAATATTCACAGAGGTGGTTACCAGCAGGAGAAATATAAGATACTTGATGTGCAAGTCCACTGCTTCTTAAAGATTGTGGTTTTCTAGCCCTGATGCCTGCCATGGATTTAAATGCTGAAGTGACTTTTCAAAACACCACTTCCCATGGTTGTTTGTGCACTGCGTTCTTCTGTTACTGCAAAATGTTAATTCACATGTTACCAATTACTGGATCTTTGACAAAACAAGTAGCAGCAAGAAGAAACCCCTGTGGTTTTTATGATAATAGTAAGTAGAAGTCAAGATAACATTTCATGCCAAATGGATCAGGAAAGCAGTAACTGGAGAAGGATTTCATGGTATCACTGAAATATCTTGTCTGTCAATAGTTTATGTAATTTTCTGTGTGTTGCTGCTTCACGCTCAGTTCCTTGCTGAAACTTTGCACCAAAACTCAAGGTAGAGATACTCTACAAATCATGGCATATGTCATGGGGTTCAAAGCTTAGACATGAGTTTTTTATCTTCAACACCTGTCTGCCATGACTTCAAAACAATCCAGCTTTGCCGAGGACTCGGCCGTGGCAGAGTGGGACCAAGCATTTGGGAACTGGGGGATGGAAATTGTGAATTTGGACACACATGAAGGGAACCTACTAACCACAGCTCCGAAATAAATTTTGATTTTTTTTCCTTCTGATCAAAGAGTTTTCATTACAAACAAACACTAAGGGATTGGAGAATGCATTTCAGCACATACATATATACACACACACATCTTCTATATATATGTGCATGTTTTTTATTTCGGCTGTAACAGAGCAATCATTCATCTAATTTGTCTTCTAATTAGGCCTTTTTAACGATCAAATCTTCAACACTGTAAACAGGAACGAATAAACCCTTTACCTGGATGAACACAAACGTTGGCATCGACCGTTCTGCCTGGGCTCCTCTTCCCTCCCAGCAAGGCTGGTGGCTCCATCCGCTGCCCCAGCCCGAGCACCCGCAAGGACCATCAGGTTCTTCAAGTAGATTTAGTGTACCCACCAAGGTCCTGAAAAAGTGTAAAAGAGAGGGCAGAAAACTACTTGCAGGGCTTTTCTTTGTGATTTTGGTACTATATCAATCTGTCCTCTATGTGGCATGCAAACCACAGCAAATGGTATTTTTATCCCTTTCTATGTTACGTGCTTGCAAAAATTGCTGACAGAAACTGCCAACATGCTCCACTAATAACTACAATGCTGTTTCACTGGCATACATGTCTTTTCCCAGTAAAACAGACCATCTCCTTCAGGGGCTTATAATGATGGGGCTTTTAATGATGCAACTACACTGACATTTACAGCAATGAAAACTTCTCTGATAGGACCTCAGAGTAAGAGATTAAATTCTAAGGGGATATGTAAAAAGAAGTGGGGTATGTTAAAAGCTGACAAGTGGTTAAGAGTCTACACGGAGACAACACGTGCATCCAGAAGGCATGGATATGCTGATTTGGAACTACACATTTAAACTCAAATCTTCTTTCAAGTAACATTTTCCTGACAACAGAAAACAAATACGTCACATCTGCCACAAATGTGCTGTACGTAACAGCAGTCCCTACAGCATCAATATATTTACTTAGTGATTCATCCCCTTCCTCTGTATGTTTATCTAACTACCCTAACCACATCCAGTTACCAATTACTAGCTAGAAATGGCCTTACAAAACCATGTTCAAGGGACTCTAAACAGTCAAACACAGACTGAGGCTTTGGTGTCACCACTCATTGCCAAACATTTGCACAGGAGAATAAATCAATCAGCACTTTCCTAGAATAATATACCAGCGAGCAACCTAACTGTTTGCAATGGAATCTGCATCTCCTCTAACTAATAAAAAGCCTTCTGATGACTTCAGAAGACTCTCCATTAGGCCTTTAAAATGGAGGAAGCAACAGATCTTCATATAGTTGTTGCATACCAAAACAGTAAAACAGTTTTCCAGAAGCCGTTGAGTGAGTTCAGGTAACTGTGCAGGTAAAATCAACAACTGATTCGTCAGCTCTGCCATTTCAACCCAGGAAAGTATAATTTATTTTTCTTTTGATTTGGGTATCACCACCAGTTACCTGGATTCTCAGAATCCAACTCTGTTGTTTTCAGCTCGTACCAGTGCAAATCAGGACAGACTCTGGTCCTGCAACAGGGGATTGTACACACTACTAGATTGTGCCTTGGCTAGAACATAATTCTGCTCTTTTCAGGCTGTGCATTTCTTTCAGGAGTAAGACAAATCAGAAACTCACATTTTTCAGTAACGTAAGCAAGCGTACACACTCCTTGTCTTCCCCAAATGAACTGTGTTTCCACAGTTGTAATTATTATGTAATTATTCATGGTTTTGTAAACTCTTTGTGGCAAGAGACAAATGCCAAATCCAACAGCAGCGAACCAGACTGACACTCTCGTATCTCTCCCCATCCCCTTTAATCTCTCCCAGGAGTTTGGTCTCCCAACAATTTTAAAGAAGGGCAGAGTCTGGGGCAGAAGAGCTTCCATGTATGAACAGAGTTGCATAGTACTTCACTCTTTCAGAAATACCTTTTTTAAAGTATTCCCAACACATGGGTAGGCTTACAAAATAGCCTTTTTGCTCGAAAGATAAATTATGAAGTCCTAAAAGCTCTCAGCTGCTGAAATTCAGAGCCCAAACCACATACCTGCCTCCTTCCGTCTCTCACTTTTCCCCAGGGCACGGCACCAACAGCAGATGGCATTTCTCCGAATGAGAAAGAGGTGGCTTCCTTCAAGAGCTAACTTCAGCCCCACAAGAACACACTCCGGCTGCTCCCGCTGCAGTCAGCGGAGAAGCGGGCGCTTCCACACGCCTGCCTCTGGCTACTGCCCCGTGTCCTGGGACTGCCGAGGGGGTCAGTCCTACTGCTGGCAGAGCACCCCAGGAGTTAATCCCCCCCCAGCCCCTGGACCCTCTGCTTACCCATCTCTCCTTTCTGTACGGCTGTTGGGGCACCCCGGCTCATGCATCTGTCCCCCCAAAAAGCGGCAGTGAAGTGGCAGGAGCAGCACAGCAAGCGGTCCTGGACGGCGAAGCAGCTTCCCTCTCTCACAGCAGTTCTCACGTGCTTTTCCTGGGGGCTGACTGAGCGTCCGGGAAGGCTAAACTGGAGTTAAAAACCACTGTGATCTTGTGTTTAGTTATGCGAGAAATAAATGTGGATAAGGGTCTGATGCCAATACGTATTTGTTACAGGTGTTGTGATAATACAGCTACTGTCTCGTATAGCTGTAATGAACAAATGTGAAGAAAACGTCCATGACTCAACTGATCATGCTCAACTTTTCACACAGTTGGTGAAGGCATAGCTGGCTCTTCACATTTCTCTTGATGTGGGGATTCATAAAATCTCAAATCATCCAAAATAAGAAGCTAAATGGTGTGGAGGTAGCCCTTCACCTGATATACCCTCAGCGGAATTTACATCTACTTACATTAGCAGGGGATCCCCACTTCTCCCCCATTTAGTCTCACATCTTCAGACTAGTTCATTTAACTCCTTGTGTTCTCTTGTATCTTCCATCAACTAAAATAAGCTTCTTAACATTTCCTATCAATTCCAGATACTGCGCTCAGCATACCTGCCAAGGCTCACCTGTTCCTTTTGTATAGATGCAAATACATCAAGTGGACAAAGAAAATTACTTTTTCGCCAAATTTGTTTTGAATCAATTGAATCTATTTTAGAATGATGTAAGCCCTGAAAAATGCTGTGGGACTGTCTGAGTCTGTTAGCACTTCTAAGTAAACAAACAAAACCTGCTTTAATTTAGACAAATTTCCAGGCCACAATTGTCAGAACACCACTAAAAGCTCTTGGGTATTAAAAAACAAAATCTAAATAAGAAACAGAAGCTACATAAGGAGGAGGGCTCTGTGGGAACCTTCCTGCCTTTGGTCTGACAATCCAAAAAGTGTGTTCTGGTTTCCCCCAGCATCCGGTGCACTCCAGCAAGTTTCTAAATAAAGTTGACTAAAAACTTCACTCAAAGCTTCAGTGTTCCTTAAATGGCATGTCTCATCTTTGCTGGCAGAGCTGCAGCTCATGTTAAAGTAAGCAACCACATTAACATTTTTCCTAAATGCTACTCTATATATTCTAAACGTTCAGCTCAAAAGTTGCTAAAATAAGCACTTAGAATAACAACTTCAAACACTTGCACAAGGCTGCATCCATTCAGATGAGCTATTTTTTCTTACCTCACTGGATTTCCCTTCAGTGTTCATCAAACAAAGGATGCGCCGTGCCATGACAAGAGAGAAAGGCTAGATTGCAGCTTGAGGACTAACATAAATCAATTAGAATCTATTGGCGCCTAATTACAGGATTTGTTATTTATCCCAGGCTGCCTCCCAGTACAAAAACACCTGGTGACTGATGCCTTCTCTTTGTGATAAACATTTACTTAGATACACGTGGAGGCTGAAATGCAGAGTGTTTCTTCTTCCTTTACTCCGAGCAAGCAGTGTTCAGCTTTCATGAGAATGTTTAATCCCCCTTTAAGCCTGAGTAAAAGCAACTTATATTACATAGAGCATATTCTGATTGTGAGCACAGATTCTAACTACTGGAAAGCCTGTAAAATAATGTAAGCTGACACATTACCTGCAAAAGGTGTTTTAAAAAAATTCTGTAAACTAACATCACATAAAACGCAATTGCTATGCAATGCTAGCATTTTAGAGATAATGTATCTTATGGAAGTCTAACACTTAATTATGAAAAATGAATTAAGAAGCATGAAAATTATAATTGAACAGTAGCCCCTCTGATACAATCACAGAAGAGAATACAAAAGAATTTTATGAATCCAAACAAACCCCAGAAAAAATGGGAAGCCCAAATGTCACTTTAAATACATATTCAGGCATTTGCACCAGCAATTCCTTCTTCAGCAAACTGAGCACTCAGAATTTTCGCTACCATCAGTAACACCTCTTTGAAGTTCAGACCTCCTCAAATGTATTCTGCTTTACATGAATATTTCTGTCACCACTCTTTCCTTCCCCATTATCACCTGCACCACAGAGAGCACAAAAATTCACATAAAATCCCACAGGAAATGCAAAAGATCTATATAAAGCTGCAAAGTGTCTTCTGTCTCTCATCTTCAGCTCTTTGCAAGTTTCTCAAACTGTTGGGAGAAGAGAGTTCTGGTTACACCATGGAAGGAGGGAAGAAGACGTAAACTGAAAAGGAAAAAGCACCACTATGAATGCCCCAAACCAGCCTGAATAGCAGAGCAAGCTGCTAACTTTATACACGGGCTATACCGGGAACCTCTCCATGGCTGCACCAGTGCCCACAACACATGCCCGGATCAGGGATTTTGTTCAATAGTTTCATTACCAGTAACAAATGCCCACCACTTGCCTCATTCTGGCTGGTCCAGAATTAATGAGCATTTTAGGGGGCTGCAAATCAACCTGGGATCTTGTTGTTTTAAAAGGGATTCTTTACAAGTGGAGACACCCCGCCTCAGACTTGGCATGACCCTCTTCTACACCCGGAGTGTCTGTGTTGCCCTTGAGTGCTACGTTTGCCCCGAGAAAGCAGCCCTGCCCGCGTCTCCCTGGGCTCTGGGCTCAGCACAGACCTTCATGCCGCTGCTGCAGGGTCTGCGACAGCAGGAGAGATGCTGGAACATCCCACGGCAGCTGAAGCCACCCAGGGCAGCAGCACCACTTCCCACAGCTCCACCTGCATTGTGGTTCTTGGTACAAGGGAGCACAGCATCAAAGGCAGTCCTATCTGCTTTAAGTGTAAAAGGAAAAAAAAAAAAAATTAAATTAGTATAGCTCAGTGAATCTTAATTATTATTGTCAAGATTTTTTTTAATATATATAACTTATTTACCTACAAATTCTTTCTCCTGCCTACGCTGGATACTTACATTCACAAACATATTAGTCATCGCTTAATTATCGCTTCGAAGCCTTATTAATATGTATGGGTAAAGAGCTCTCTGGCAGGAACGCATTTTAATGAAGTCGCTGAAAGGCAACACACAGTAATTTCTAGAAGGTTATGCCATGACTAACAATAGCAAACTGACTGAAGCAGCCTGGGGACAGGATGAGGTATGGAAGGCAAAAAAAAATCAAATTCATTTTAATATTTTAATGATAAACTTAATTAGAAAGCATTTAGGCGTTTTGGCTGAGCAGTTCCAGCTTCGAGCGGCGCGCAGCGATGCTGGAGGGGAACGGCGTCCCTCAAAACCGTCGCCTGCCCGCGCCCAGCGGCCTTGTCTGCAGGACACGGAATACGCTGCGTGAAAGGAGGGCCTTGAAAAGGAGACATTTTGCGGCCGCCCTGGCTTTCGCAGCAAGCAAAGCACCGTTTTTTGAGGCCGTAACCGTTCTGTGTCACCCGGCAGCACGTAATTTACAAATCAAACGCATATGCTGCGTGTGTAAGCTGCGCTTTATTCCACACACACACACACACACACACACACCCCAAGCCAGAGCAGCACCCCGCTTTCCCCCCTGGGCCGTTTTGGCAATGTTTGCCCTTCCGAGGCGAAGTTACCGCTGTGGCGGGGCCCTCCCGGAGGGCGCGGGCCCGGCGGCCGCCATGCCGCGGCAGGCAGCGGGGAGCGGCCGGGCGGGAGGCCGCGGAGCCGCCCCGGGAGGCGGGCCCGGGACGGACGGCTCCGCGGCGGCTGCCCGGGTAAGGGTCTGGGGGTGTGGGGCGGGAGGGGAACGGAGGGGAGGGCGAGCGGGTTCCCTTCCCCGCTGCGAACCGGCGCTGAGGGCGCCGGCGGGGCCCCGCAGGCCGCCGGCTCCTCCTGCCCCGCCGGGCCGCAGCGGAGCGTGAGGCGGGAACCGCGGCTCTCCCCCCTCAGCGCCGGGCCGCCCGCCTTGCCCCCCGCGGCCGAGGGGACCCGAAGGTTTAATTTCCAGCCGTAAATGCTGTTTCTCCTCCCTTCGGTCCCCAGGGCCATGGGGAACGCCGTCGCTTGGCGCTCCCTCGGCAGGCGGACCCCCCCCGCCACTCCCGCGCTGCTGCCGAGGTTGCAAAGCTTAAATCGCGTCTTCCGAAGGAAATACGAGGGATTGTGTCACGGTAAACAGCCAGCGCACATGCTGCTGCCCTGCCGTTTAGTGAGCAATAAAGCAAAATACAGGTGGTGTGCAAAATCTTACCCTGTTTTAGACGGACGTGTCCTATCCGTGTATCGACATGTGTTCGAAGCAAATTTAAGGAACAGTGAGACTCTTATTAAAAGGTAATAAACTGCTTTTGTGGCATTTTAAAAATGTTGCTGCTTGTGAGATGACGTGAGAGTTACTGACAGGCATTTTAAGCAACTTTTTAACGCAGAAAGAGCGCTAATTAAACATCCGGAGATTAAAAAAAAATTAAAAAGTTGTTTGTTTTTTTAACCTAACCAGTTTGAAGCTTAAACTGGTTTCCTAGCTGCTCTTGGGCAGCTTCTCTGCAGAGTGAATTTTACAAGGATCAGCACTTCAAAATTTCAGCTTCTCCAAAGGGGTGCCTAAATGTTGACAGCGGTGCCTAAACCGAGGTGCGGACTGTATTTAAAATAGTGCCATGAGACATTGTTTTGCATATATTGCCAAACAGTATTTTTTCAAGACCTTCATGCAATTTGTTTCGTGTTTGATTTTGCATGCAAAGGCATAAAGGGTGACTCACACATTTACAGATCCCTCCTGAAAGAGTGGCGACAGTTACTGCAATTAATCGTGATTCATTGATAAAAGCAGGAAAATGTATTTTATGTGTTTGTCCTTAAAGATCAGATGGCAAAAATTCAAACGCCTTTGTTCAGAGGAATGGTACATGAGCTGGAAGCAAAGCTATGGAAAACACACTGTGCCCTCCTGTGGTGGCATTTACGACATTATTCAAAATCCTTAGTTTTTTTCTCCTGAGGTTTTTCAATCTCTACAGTCTGCAGGAAGCCACAGTAAGATAATGGAGTCACGTACAGGGTAGTGCATAAGTAGTTAGGACACACAGAATTTTTAGTTAAAGAGGATCCATCTTGGCGAAAAACATTTTACTTTAAATAAATGAACAATCTGGTTTATTTAAGACCAAAAATTATTTGAGATACCACATTTGTTGACGGTTTATTCAACTCATTATCTGTACTTGATGCTGTCCTGACAGTAACGTTTGGTAATCACTTCCTCTCGTCGTGACTGTAGCGACACTGCAGTATCCAACATGCTTAAAGTATATCTTCTGTGCTGTAGAATATGCTTTAGGCCTCTCAGAAAAACTTGTTGATGGGAACTGAAGCAGGAAGCTGGGTTCTCCCCTGGAGTAGTTGGAACATGGAGGTAAATGTCCATGCTGAATTGGGACTAGCAGATTATGATAGCCGTATTAATGACTGCAAGTTTACAGGCTAATGTTGTTGTAGGGCAGTATCCCTCCAGGTCAGCGCTGGTGGCTGCTGATCAGCCCCTTGTCAATACTCTGCTGCTGGGGGTTGCTGGCAGAGATTAAGTATGATCATATGTTGTGAAACACTGTGTGTTGGGTGTATATAGGCAACAGCCAGGGGAGGATGCAGTCTTAGTAATGTCTGCTTGCTGTAACCATAAACTGCAGATAGAATACTTCAGTTATTTCACTCTTTTTTTGTCTTTATTAGACAATTTTTGAATAACGAAACCAAAATGCTTGCTTTGACTAACAAACCTTTGCTTTTTCTTACAAGAAATGGTAATGCAAAAATGCAAGTTCATCTTCATTCTCACGCCATCGATATGAAAACTGTGCAACACATTTAAGTACTATGTGCAGCCTGCTAATGGGTAACTTGTAGGCAAAGGTGGTTTTCATTGACTGAAACTTTGTTTTTTAAATCAGATATTCAGAATTGCTGGAGACTGTCAGTAAAGGAGGGGGAGGAAATGCCATCTTGCATCATACTCAGAGAAACAAGAAGCTGTTTGTTCATGACCGCCTGAAGTTGCTGCTTGACGATGAGTCTTTTCTGGAGCTGTCTCCGCTGGCAGGCCTCGCTATGCCGTATGGTGATGTCCCTGCTGCTGGGTGCCTTACAGGTCACTGCTGGCACGTGTAATATGAGATGGAAGGGGAGGCTGGGGAAGTTCATTTGTTGCATTGCTCATATCCTTAAATATGATTCAAATTAGGTCTAAAGATAGATATGGGTTGAGGGTGGTGTTCTGAGCAGCCCGTGCTAGAGATGCGGCCCAGGTTGAGGGTGTTCTGAGCAGCCTGTGCTGGAGATGCAGCCCAGAAGGCAGAAGGGTTTTGAACCAGAGTGATCTGTAATATAATTTGAGAGGTGTTATTTGGGTGCAGTGATGAGTAAAGGATTGTAGGCAGTGTGTATTAGTTGTATTCCGTATGTGCTGCGCACCTTCCCGGAGTAACCAGCCTTGCTCACTGAAGGTGAGGTGTTTGTTCTTACTGGGAAATGGAAAAGATGCATGTAATCAAGTTTATGGGATATTTTAGTACCTTAAGAATGTGTTTTCCTAGGAAAAGTGAACATCAGCTCTATCCAGTAGCAGCTCCCAACATAGAAGACTTCAGCCACTGCTGTATTATTCTTCTGCGATTGTTGCTGGGGCATCTGGGAGATACCTTTAAATAAAAAAAGTGATTTCGTTTCTTCTAGATTTAGTAATTTATTCTACTTACCAGTTACTGATTTTTGTCTCAAAAAATTTAGGATGATGTGTCAAATCACATTTGCCTGCTAAAGGAAAGGGGCCAAGTTACAGTAAGATGCAGGAGCTGTGACATTTATTTAGTAATATTTTTCAAATTATAGACAAGTCTTTTCATTGCATTTTGAAGAACAGTTTCAGTTTAAAAAGTAACAAGAAGAATAGAGTATGAAATCCTATCTCTTGTTAAATTTTCCCTTTTATATAGGTAATTTTTAATTGCCTTCTCTTAAGAGTTGGAAGTCAAACTATGCATTTTTTTTCTCTTACCTTGTCACCAGGAGTAAGTATGTTTATTTCAAGTTCTGTCTTCTGTCATTTATTTTTTTTTTTAATGTCATTTCATTTTATTGAAACTTTCATTTATTGAAACTTTCAGCTTGTTATTCCAGACAGCTATAGATTTCTTCCCTGTGTGGTATTTGCACCTTAATTTGCACCTTCTCGAAATAGGGTTACACAAAGGAAAATTTGCCAAATAGCTAAAGTTTGGCCCCCTTGTTTCGTCTGTGGTATTTTAGAGAGTCCTGATAAGTGCCTGTGGTACCGCTTACAGGAATTGGCAAAATCTGTGGAATCTGGTGTGTCTTCATGGCGAACGATGCAACTGTAAAAGGAGGAGCTATTTTTCCAATCGGGGTGAAGAAACAGTTGAGAGCTCAAGAAATAGCCATGCAGAACAGACTGTTATGTGTGTACCTGGTTGACAGCGGGGGAGCGTTCCTACCACTGCAGGTAATATTGTGACCACTTCGTAGAAGAAAACACCTATGCTGATCTTAATCACGCTAATTTTTAGCAATGAACCTTAGGTTTATGTTGTATTTTCTTGGCTGGCTGACTTGCACTGTCTGTTATACTTGAGTTTTGTCCGCAAATCAGCGTGCAGGAGATTATTTAAAGATCTGTAACAGTGGAGATGACTTTGGCTGATCTTGTGTCTAGCATCTAATCAAAGGTTAGAAACTTGAGTATTGGTGGGGGGGACAAAGTGCTGACCAAGCATGGGTATTCCTCAGTGTGCTGAAATGCTTCGGTGTCTTTAAGAGGTTAGTACATTGTTGGAGGTTTCTATTTTCAACATCAGAATCTATAAAATGACTCTGTATTTTATTGTAATGTTTGTGATAGTAATGCAGTAACCTCCACGGCCTTTAAAAATGTAGTTTTAAAAATTCTGCCCGTAAAAGGAGAATTTGCACAGGTTACCTTTCAGTGTACAGAGGTCATATTACCACAGGGGCTGTAGTTGTTCCCTCTCCAGGCTGAAAGCAAACACATGGAAAAAGTTTGTACCTGGCTTAAGGAGTTGTAACAAAAGCTGAGTAAAAAGGGAAAGTGTGCTGAAGTCATTTCACAGATCAAGTATGAACATGAGCTTCCCCTTTGCCTTGTTTACAGTCTCACTTTTTGTAGAATAAATTGGTTGCACAAAAAATTACGAAACTTATCTCTGCTTTCAAAACAGGTGGGTATTTATGTGGAATTGCACAATGTATAAGGGGAATAAATACTGTAGCCAGTGCTGTATGTGAAAGTTTCAGGAAGGATTGTTAGCCGTGACCTTCCCGGAGTCGGTTACAATGTGTTTGTGAATGAATGAAGAGGAAGTGTTGGCTTTTGTAGGTAATATCGAAACTCACTTTGTCTTTTGTCTGTGTCGTCAGGCAGAGCTGTTCCCTGACAAGTCGCACGGTGGCAGAGTTTTCTACAATGAAGCGATAATGTCTGCCATGAGAATCCCTCAGGTACAGCGTCGTTTGGGGTACAGGTGACTGTAGTATATGTGATCAGCAGACTTCTAAAAAAAAAGTTCTGTTCTAACACAGATTCTAGGAGCAACTCTCAAACATGCAAAAACATTCCTAAAGCTCACCTTTTCAATTTGTGGGGGGAGATTCAAATAGTATCTCACATAACAGAATACTTCAGCCTTAAGGCTCTTTTAAGTGTTTACTGACTGATTGTGATGGAAAAGCATCAAATCACTAGGTTATTTCAGAGTAAACACTGAACTCTCTCAAAACCAGCATTGTTGTTCCTGCTGGTATTTATATCTCTAGTTCATTGTTCCCCAAGCTGCGATTTAGGCTCCTGAATGTTTCTGAAATAAATGTAATGGTTTTGCCTTTCTGTTCTCCTCTCCCCAGCATCCTGACACGTTCTGGTTTCTGTGCCCCTCAGGTGGCAGTGGTCTGTGGCTCCTGTGTAGCTGGAGGTGCCTATATGCCAACCATGGCAGAAGAAGCTGTGATGATAGATAAAATTGGTACACTGTTCCTTGCTGGCCCTCCTCTGGTAAAAGCTGCTACAGGAGAGTATGTCTCTCCTGAGGACCTAGGAGGAGCTAAACTTCACACTAAGTATGTGAAATAAGTCCTCAAAATAGTAGAGAGTTCAGCATGCTTAGCTTTAACGAAACTGTTATTTTATCTTAAATTAATGGGACTGAAGCTACGCAGGTGGCAGGGTACAGTATGGTCCTCAAGGACTGAAAAACCCACGGTGAAAAAAACGAGTAGAAATGATACATGAATTATTACAAAGGTTGGTGGTATTCAGTTATATATGTGGGAGAATCACGGGGCTAGATATAACGCTTTGAAATGAAAAAGGCAACGTGGCATTGTAATTTCAGCTTTACTGCTGTCCACGGGAACTTTCCACTTCCACTGTGTGTGTATACACACACACACGCACACACACACTGGCTGATAGAAATCTCACCTAAGTACAGAGGTCAGGATCGGGGCCAAGAGTAGAACCTAGAATTACACTGTTTGCTTTCCTTCTCAGGTACAGGGGTTTTTGGTTAGATCGGCTAAATGGGAGTAAAATTAAGTGATGTTATGGGGTGAAGCAGGAATTGGACAAACCTGGTTTTGGTTCCCCATTTTTCCACATACTTTCTGAACAACGTCAGGCAAGTCAGTTCCTCTGTGCCTCAGAGGGACCAGCTATAGACGAGGGATGACACCACTTCTTTTCCTAATGTAAACGTTGTCAGGGTACATATATTAAGAAAACCAGTTGTGAGTGTTCAGATACTGTGATGATGGGGAAAATGCATTAGAAATTCTTTTTTCTTTCCTAATGTCAGAAATTGCTGTTGTCATCAAAATAGTTACTCCTCTCTTGATAGGGGGAAAGGGTGGCTTTGCTTCTTTGTTCTTGGCATTCTGTGCTGCGTGTACAGGAATCAGATTCCATACCTTTCTCACAAAAACAAATACTAGTGTGGCAGTCAGATAACTGTGTTACATGTAATAAGTCATTGTCTTTATATCCAGGCTGGAAGTGCTTATTTTGGAATAATTTTAAAAGTTTGGTTTCCCTTTCTTACACTGTTTGCAACAACATCATCCTGAAAATAAATTCAAACCCCTGCCTTTAATATAGGTGAACACAAGTCACAGGGAAAAACTTCTTACCGTGAATTTGTTTTGGGGTTGGATTGCACAGAAATACCACTGACTGACTGCTTTCAACTCATTCAGACAAGAACAAAACCACACAGTGTTTTCAGGGAGTTTGGAGAGTCACAGTGCAGGTTGAGGTTTTTCCTTTAGTTTTTTTTTCTACCAGAATTCGGATTTCATTAATTCATTATGAATTAATGTTGCTCTCTCTCCTAGAGTCAGTGGCTGTAGTGACCATTTTGCATCTTCAGAAAAGGAAGCTTATGAATGTATTCGAAATGTTATCTCAACATTAAATTATGATCCACCACCAGAGGAGGTCATAGAGTATGACAGTCCTCTGTACAGTTCTGATGAGCTCTTGGGCCTGGCACCGCAAGATTACAGGTGTACTCTTCCTGTAAAATTGGTAAGGTGACAGATGCTGCGTTCCTCCGTCCTCTCCGTCCGCTCTGGCTGGTAGCTCCAGATTAACAGCCAACAGGCTGTTCTCTTGGAGACCCCTGAAGTCCCTGAGATATTCTCTCTCATTACCTCATCGGTTGCCAAACTGCCTTGAGTCCGCAAGAAAGCGGAATGGCAACAGTTCTGTAGAATTATAGAAAATATTTAAGCTGAAAACCTGATAAGATAATTACAGATTATGCCTGCTGATCCCCGTCTGTTTCCAGGCCCTGGTTGAGATGCTGTTACGGCAGTGTGTCTTGTACTGGCTTGGCTGCCTTGAGAGTGTGCACCCTTTTCGTGTCCTGTTTTCCCCTCCTCCTGCCTTTTTTTTTTTTTTTTTTTTTTTTTTAACCCAAGTAGTCAAGACTTTTACCTTGTAACTTCAGTGCCTAATGAAAATACTGACTGAAACCCAACAAAGCTCAAATTAAGCTTGTTTGAGGCTGGGACAGACGCTAGTACATAAGAAGAGACCTGCAGAGCTGCTCATGCTATTTTCATTGTGGTGTTCTAGAAGAGATTTAGTCTCTGAGGATGTGAATCCAGTACCTTTTCCAGGGCTAAATTCCTGCGGTTAAGGGGATTGACTGTAGAAAGCAGCGTAGCTTTGAAGGCAGCTTTTTAAACTGTGTTTGAAAAAACATTCTGCTGAATGTTTCTTATGCACACAAACTCTGGGGTTTTTATAGCATTTTTATGTGCATGATCAGCTGTGCTCTGTAACACTGAAATAATTTGGAAGTTGAACTTTGGCTCAAAATACGTGGTTGGTAAATGTAAACACAAATTTGATATTTTGTGCATATTGAGTGTTTAGCAGACTGTTAGACGTGAAAGGTCCTTCTGTGCTCATTTGGGTTGACTTTTGCATTATACAGGTCTTGGTACTATTTGAACAGAGCATATCTTTTAGCAGAACTATCCTATTTTCACTTAAATTTCTGTAGTAAAGGCTGTGTATTTGTTTGCAGATTCTGAGCCGTCTGATGGATGGAAGCAGGTTCCAGGAATTCAAGGCTAATTATGGAACAACAGTAGTAACGGGCTTTGGCCACGTGCAAGGGTAAGGTTATAACATTTCACTATCAAAATGTGCGGACATATTTGTCTAAATAGCTTTCATATCATTATCAGATTTCACAGTATTCCAATAACAATGTTTATGAAGTTCTCAGCCAGTCAAGAGTTGGTAGTAAAATACTCCTAGATGCCTGAGCTTTTGTCCCTGAGCTCTGAATTCACCGTGTCTCAGGCCAAGAGCAGCAGAGAGTGATTACAAATTAATGTTTTTCATGACTTTGTGAAGTGATTTGTTTGTTCACAAATAGCCAGACGGTTGGAACATTGAAGTCTCACCAAGTTCCTTGAGAAATAAGAAACAGCATCGTTAAAAGCGTTCCTTCCCAAACTGAGCTGAAAGCGAGCATCCCTTCTCCCATGGGATGGAGATGGGGGAACACCCTTACAATGAAACGTTGCATAATTCAGCTCAGACTCCAGTATTAACACATTCATGAAGTGCGTAACATTCCAGTCAAAGCATATTAAAAATTAAAAAAAAGGTAGTTTCACATATTTTTATCAGCTCTGTAGGTTGCAAGTATGAACTTTTCAGATTGACTGTTACGTTGTATGTTACAGGAGTTAGAGAGAGCCCAGGGTCCTGGCACCTTGTGCGCTGCCTTGCAGTGTAAACTCTGACAGGTCAGCTGTAGCTTCACCTGCCCTCTGGTACCAATCCCTGTCCTTGCTCCGTGCTTTACGCATCAGGAGTGCAGTGAGGCGGCGTGTCTGTTAGGTATGTGAGGCTCCCAGAATGAACCGGCACACGTACACTCACCCTTCTACATCCTGAATTTCTGTCAAGGGCAGATCTCTCTCTCCCTCTCTCCGTGTGTATGGATATTTATGTTTCCACCCTGCAGAACTTTATCAGCTACGTATCAGCTACACAGTCATAATTTCTAGGGTTCAAAAGTGAAAATGTTCTCGTGTCTTGCTTTGTAGGCACTTGGTGGGGATAGTGGCTAGCAACGGGGAGCTGTCTCACGACGCTTCTCTCAAGGGCAGCCACTTCGTGCAGCTTTGCAGTCAGCGGAGCATCCCCATCCTCTTTTTCCAAAATACTGCTCCACACACAGCACAGCCCACAAGCATCTCACAGGTATGGCATTTTTAGTCCAATATCCTTGCTTCAGGCAATTCCTAGTTCTGGTTGTGTTTAAGGTTACATTTTGAAAATTACTAATTGTTAGGAAAATTATTTTTGTTTAAACCATGATGCTTCAGAATTACTTTGTTCTTAAATCTTTCCGTGAGCGTTCTCACTTTATTCTAACATTAAGCAGGCCTGTATGCTTCTCTAAAATGGTACTGTCCAGCTGGCAACGCAAGCTGCAAAACTTGGAATTTATAGTGCTTTTTACATGGAAATACGGCCTATTGATTCTTCTGATACCACTACGCCCCACAGAAAAACAGATATTTCTCTTTTAGAAGAGTGAAGGCATTAAAATACAGAATGTTTTGTCCTGGGCTACAGCGAGCCTCGTAGTATTTGCGATCTGTTTCTGCAGAACAGAAATTCCTCCCACGTGTCAGCAGCACTTCAGACAAAGCCTGGCATAACTGCGTTGAGGCTGAGCTTTCCTAATGCCTGGGAGAGCTAGGGTTGCTCAGGAGTGTAGGTTTCTGCACACTGGTTATAACTGTTCTGCTGATACACGTTGTGAAATAAATGCATGACGGGATATGGTAGTTAATGATGCTGTCTGACTGTTGTGGAGGAAACGATCATACAGAATTGTAAAGAAATAAATGTTTTAGAAAAGCAAGTTTGGTGGGAGTGGAGGGAATCTAGAAGAAAGACTTAAAGGATCTAAAATCTTCATTTTCATTTCAGGCAGAGGCCCACTCCAACAAATTAAAAGCCCAGGCCTCCATGATGGCTGCTGTTGCCTGTGCTGCTGTTCCCAAAATAACCATTGTAATTGGTGGCTGCTATGGGAGCGACAGTTACGTTATGGTACGGGTGGCGTAGATCTGCCGGGTTTGGCAATAGGTTTTTTAAACTATACCAACATCTCACAGCACTTCCTTTTTAAACCGCAGTCAGCTGATGTTACAGACGTTTAGCTGGATCCGTCGTTTTAACTGCTTCTGAAGTAAGAAGTGCATCACAAGATGTGATTACTGCAAATTTGGTCTGCACCTAAGGACCCGGAGTCACTTCTAAAAAACAGATCCTCCGAAAATGTCCCTTCTCGGGAGCCAGTCCTCCCTTTTCACAGCACACGTTCTCCGTGATCAAGGAGCACAGCTCCTTGAGTTGTGTTACTACGTGTGCAGTTCGCGCTGCTAGTCAGCGCAGCAGGGCTCTTTGTGTGCTCAGAACTAAACACGTCGGTGCTTGGAAGAAAAATAATTGACATGAAATGTATAGGAAATAATTAAATAGCAATACTGAAGGCAGCGGGGGTTGTGCTGGTTGCTACCACAGGATGTCTGCGCCGGTACAGGAGCTGTAGCTGTAATGCTAAAGGAGCTGTATCGTTAACGCTCTACAAATCAAACTGTATTTGGGATCGTGTCATCCTGCAGCCATCTCTTTGGGATTCATTTCAGTAAGTTTGTACTGTGCGGTTTTTTTTTTTTGTAGTGCGGGAGATCGTTCAGTCCAAACTTTCTGTTCTTGTGGCCTAATGCGAGAGTTGCCCTTGTGGATTCAAGACATTTCTCCACAGTCCCCCAGGCTGGGGACAATGACTGTACAGGAGATGAATCAGAGCTAAAACATCTGAAAGAAAAGTAAGGACATTAAATATAAACCCTTGCAGTTACACTGGGGTTTAATTGGTTAAATTACCTCCTGTTGTTCATCTTACAGATCAACACATCCCACACAAGTAAAGCAAACCTGGATCCACTGAAAAATATTTTAAGTTTCCATGTAATTCCATGTCTGCTCTTAGGATCTTCTCAAGGAAACACAAGTGTTTCACTTGCAAAAAACCCCCAAACAAGATCTCAAGCCATAGAACCCCAAATCAAGATATTCTGCTGTATATGGAGCAGTGGCAGTCATCCCGCTGCGGAAGGTGGTCTGTACTGCAGACTGATCAGATCTATTATTTGCTGGATTCTCATGAATTTTAACAGTAGTACTGCACAGTCACTTGCGAGTCAAGAATATGCCTTTTTCATCTATGATTTTGTTTTACTGGCTTGATGGTTTTGATTACATTTTGTGCTTTTAAGCTTCTTTAATACCCTGCCTTCTCCAGGCTAGAGGAAGAAAGCAGTGCATTTTACTCCTCTGCCAGACTCTGGGATGATGGTGTAATTCTACCTCAAAATACTAGAAAGGTAGGGATTTCTCCTTAGAGTACGTTTCATTCTCAGATCTCAAAAGGCTCTCGGGGCGAATGCGTAAGCCTGTGACTCATTCAAGGTCAGCGGCACGCTGATTCCCAGAACTGGGTCTCCCACTTCTCACTCCATTTCCTGCGGAATTTAGCTTTGTAATTCTCATCTTTTCTCTTCCCCATTAGTATGTCCAAAAAGCTTCTGTTTTTTTCTTTTTATCTATTTTTTAAGCTAGCAGACATCCACTTCATTAGATCCCTTCTGGAAGCGCCACCTTTGTTCTATTTTTCCTCATTAGATTGTTTATTAGCAATACCTAAAATGGTCTTTGCACTTCTTAAGCTTGTTTACTCAGAGGTCACGAATACAGCCTGTTACCAAGTAATACATATAAATGCAGTACATATTTATGGTACTAGGTAGATGTTAAATATTTTCTGTGGCGTTTATGGGAACTTTGATGATGGGAGAGCACTGCAATATTTTCTAGTACAAGAGCCCTGAGACTGCCTAGGAACTACATGTGTAAAGAAAACACATGATAGTTGAAATAAATCACTCCTACTCTCGGGTACCAGGACGCCACAATTCACATTTGCATGTCTAGCTGTTTTTTTACAATATTGTTTTGCTACTTTATCCCAGTTCTTGCTAATAGATGGAATTTATGTTTAGCTTTATCTGAGCTGACAGAATGCGCTCATCCAGATCCTTAATGTGCTTTTCTTAAAATAGGCTTTTAAAAGACAGCATGTGCTCCAGTAGCAATGGAATAGGGAGAACTGTCTTGTTTTCAAAGACCAAAAGCAGTTCTGTATTTTCAGTGCCTGACGTCATAAGACACCAAGGAAGATGATTTCTTAGAAAAAGATGGATGTGGAAGAGCAGGATGTTCTGCTAATTTTTGATAAGCGATTGGGAATCGTGGGAGCATAGCTGTGTAATAACAGAAATGGATTATCACATAACATGTTCGCATTGGAGTTCCACAGCAGAATAGCTTCCCAGTGTTCCAAAAAGAATTCTCTTGCCACCACAGTGCCCTTCAAGTGCTTTGGTGGTGTCTGCATGCTGTGTATAAATTTGGGGATCCTGTGAACATTTCTTCCCCCCCACTTCCCTGCCCCCGTGGCCCATTACACCGACCCCTCCTTCCCCCCGCGCCACAGCCAGCGGCTGTTCGCTTTAAACCTTCATTGTCTTGCAGAAAGTAAGAACAGATGCATTGCTGACTGAGGGCAGAACTAGTAAGTTTTACTAATTTTTATGTTTCAGAGGCTCATTGCTTCTACTGTTTTTTTTGGTTTTCATTAGGTAATTGCACAGTGCTTAGAGATTCTAGACCAGCAGAAGTACCAGGTCGTGTCTCCGTGTCGGTTTCCTGTCATCAGGATGTAACAGCAGCCATTTCCAAAGAATCAGCCTCTTAAAGTTAGCGCCGTGTACTAGAAATCTTGAATGTAAGTGATTTTCTAATTCTTTGAGAGCATTAATAAAAACGTTAAACCATTGCAGACAAACAAGAATCCTGGATTTTATGTCTGTTAGCAATAAGTTTGTATTTTGAACCATAGCCTCTTCCTACATTATTTGAAAATTTGTTTTGTGGAAAGGAAGGATTAAGCTGAGAGTCTGTAGCACTCTAAGGAAGCAAATTCATCCTAAGTGGTAAGAATTGCTTGATATTTTTTTTTTTTTTTTCATATTAATGTTTTAGCATGAAATCCAGAACTGCATTTTGACAAAAGAAATGGGAAAGAGGAAACATGTAAGCTAGTGTGTGCAGTTTTCAGCCTTAGAAAAGGACAAAATGCTGCCTGCCACTCCGCCCAGGGCCTGCCAGCTCGGCTTTGCAAAGGTGCTCTGGCAAAGCTCCGCTCCGGCTGCTCCGAGAGCACTAAAGGAGTGACCAGGAGGGGACTTAAATCAGTAATAATTCAGTAGGGGCAAAAATGACCTTTTCTCAAAGCATGTAACGAAGCACAGACACTGTTGCGCGTGATGTTACCGCATGTGCAGGTATTGAGTTTACACACTGTGCTGTTTCATGCATCTTTCACTCTGCTGCAGCTGCAAAGTTTAATTCTGTACAAACAAAAAACTTCACCAGCCCCCCCCCCCCAAACTTGGGTTGTTTTAGCTGTAGAGTTCTCAGCCCCGTACGTCTGGAAATGATGCCGAAGGGTGTATTTGAAAAATACCTGGTTAAGTATTTTGAAGAATCATCAACAGAACTGAAATGCTCAATTTTAGTGAAGTAGCCACACAAATACCAAGCGCTGTTGAAGGAATTTAGGTCATCTGCGTGCTCGTGAACGGAGACCGCACCTTTCTGGAGCTGGGGGGAGCCTGGCGGGACGTGTCGCCGGCCGCCGTCAGGCTTTTTTGAAGAGTCCGTGGAACGTCACGGGAATGTTCACCTCCACTTCGGCCCTGGCCACCTCGCTCATGTCTCTGGCGTTGAGGATGAGGAGGAAGGCGGGCTTCGGCCCCGCGCCCGGGCTCACCACCACGCTCAGCACAACCCCTGCCAGGCGAGAGAAACCAGGCGCCTGTCCCCGCTGCCGCGCTGGCTGTCCCCCCGCCTGGCGCACGGGCACCCCCCGGGCCCCTTCTGGCTGCCCGAGCCTCGCTTCTGAGGTAGAGGGGGAGATGGTTTATTTAATTCTCATGCTAATTCGGGTGCTGGCCGTCATCGGGGCGCTGTGGCACGGTAGCTCCTAGAGCATTTCGTTTTTTAAACTGTGAGAAACGTTTTTATTCTGAAAACGAGCCATGAAAAGCTATCGATCGCAGGGGCTGACAACAAACATCACTTCCTGGGCTGCGTGTCAGATTTGTCCGTTTTTTCAACATTACGAATTCATTTATAAATTACTTTATAACTCTGCCCCTGAGGTTTGATGTGACAAGGTGCCCCGCGCACGCCCTCGGGAAGGTGACAGAAACGCGAGCTCGGTGTTCACGCAGCTGTCAGAGAGAGCTTCTGCAGGAGCTGAAGTCTCCGAAAGTGGGAGACACTTCAAAATATTCCTAAAACGCACGTTTGTCTGCTTCAGCTAAGGAAAGCCTCGAAGAACAAGCTTAAAAGCATTTCAGTGGGACTTAAGCCCCAGCACAAGCACTTTCCTGACCTGGCAACGGGCACTATGTGACATTTGGTTCTGTATAAACCAGTGAGAGTTGGCTCCTAAGTTCAGCAGAGCCAAGACTTCTCCCAGCTTCACATAATCCTGGTCGGGGAGGGGGAATTGAGGGAATAAGTGGACACCCTCTCAGGCCGAGAGCGGCCGCTCGCCTTCAAAAACAGGTGCAGGGCTGCACGTGTCCTCGAGTGATGAAGCCTGAACCCGCTCCACTCCGCAGGGAGGATGGGTGAGGAATAGAAAACGCGCTTGGTTTAAGAGAGGTTTAAATTTCACAAATTTCTGCCACCTGGAATTCTTTAAATATTGCAATTCCTGATGGAAAAAGGCCCAGGAAAGGAGGGCGATGGGTTAGCTGAACCTAGACGTCTTGCTCCTCCTTGGTTTTCAGTCTTAATTTTCCCCCGTTTCCTCAGAAACTTTCCCCGTGGCGCCGGGCTGTGGTGCCTGGGAGCTGCCGGGGGGGCTCTGCTCGCCCCCGCCCCCCCCTGGCACCAGCTTTCCTACCCACCCTGCCCTGGCCCAAACCAGAACCGGCCTTACCGTCATCTTCCTCCCGGGCATCCGGGTGGGAGACGAAGATCGGCTCCGACGGGTACGAGTCCAGCTCCTGCCACACCCACGTCTCCTTTGTTTGAACATTCAGCTTGCAAAGCTAAAAGGGGGGAGAAAAAAAAAAAAAAAAAGCCCAAGACCCCCACATCTCAGCAACACTTTTGTCCTTGAACTGAAAGCTCATGGAAAAAAGACGTGCCTTGCCCGAGCGGTGATAGTTACCCTGTCTGGGACAAAGTGATTCAGCCCCAGCCCATACGTATACGTGTAAGGTTTCCCACCGTATTTCTTGTAGTTGATCTGTGGAAATTCAAAGGCTACAACAAACAAACAAAACAAAAAAATAGCTATCTGTGAGGCTGAGCGGGAGGCAGAGCGCGGGGCGGGGGGGGCTCGCATCGCCGCTGGCTGGGCTTCGGGGTGGTGGCCGTACCGTGGCGCGGCCCCGCGAAAAGAACTTCGGGCTCCAGCCAGATGGTCTCGTCGCTGCGCAAGGTCGCCGTAGCCGTTGTGTAGGGCAGGGTCACCAAGTTCTTGCCCGTGTCAGCCTGCGACAAACAGCCAAGAGAAAGGGAGAAACAAATTGCTCAGTCTTTTCGCACAGATCCGTTGCCAGCTGCGTTGAGCGGTGCAGGGGGGGTGTGCGGCCGAGCCGCGGGACGGCCGCGCGCGGGGGGCGGCTGCCTCTTCCGTCTGCTGGGCAGCGGCGCAGCCGGAGAGCCCCTTGCCGAAACGGCGCCGGAGCTGAACTGGGGCTCAGCAAGGCACGCGGGGCTTTCTGCAACACGTGGGAAATCACAGCCTGGCTTGGGCTGGAAGGGACCGCAAAGCCCCCCCGCTGCCCCCCCCTGCCCCGGGCAGGGCCCCCTTCCCCCAGCCCAGGGGGCTCCCAGCCCCGTCCAACCTGGCCTTGAACCCTTCCAGGGAGGGGGCACCCACAGCTGCTCTGGGCACCCGGGGCCAGCGCCTCACCCCCCGCACAGGGAAGAATTTCTGCCTTACATCTCATCTAAATCTGCCCTCTCTCAGTGCAAACCCGTCCCCCCTCGTCCCATCCCCACCCCCTGACCCAGAGTCCCCCCCCCCACCTCTCCTGTCCCCCCCTTTAAGCCCTGGGAGGCCGCTCGAAGGGCTCCCCGGAGCCTTCTCTTCTCCAGGCTGAACCCCCCAACTCTCTCAGCCCGGCCCCCCAGGGGAGCTGCTCCAGCCCCCCCAGCATCTCCGTGGCCTCCTCTGGCCCCGCTCGAGCAGCTCCGGGTCCTTCTGCTGTTGGGGGCCCCCGAGCTGGCCCCAGCACTGCAGGGGGGTCTCCCCAGAGCGGAGCAGAGGGGGAGAATCCCCCCCCTGGCCCTGCTGCCCCCCCTGCTCTGGCTGCGAGTGCATGGTGCAGGGGGGGTCCCAGAATAACACTAATCAGCTGAAGAAAACAAAACATTTCTCTGAAGACCCGTACTTCAAGTCCTCCCCCTGCCATTAAACCTTTGAATTGGACTGAAGCGGGGCCCGGCGGGGCACTAGCGATGCTGTGCAGGGGAGGGGTGCAGACACCGGAGCCGCCCCGGTACCTTGTCAATGTTGAGGGGCAGCACGTATCTGCGGGCTTCGGGCTGCGGGGCTTTCTCTGCCTGCTGCTTCACTTCATCCCAGTTTGCTCGTAAGTTGGCTAAGTAGAGGTAATTGTAAACGAACTCGAACCTGCACAGAAATGGAATCACAGACAGGAACACAGGATGCATTTGCAAGTGGGTGGGGGGGGTCACATGCAGCTGGTTTTTTTTTTTTTTTTTTTGATTAAAATTCAGTGGAGTAAGACGAGTCCCAGTCCAGCTCCTCGGCAGAGGAAAACCCAGCAGCTGCTGGTGTTCACCCCAAGCACCCTGTGGCAGCGGCGAGGATAAGCTCAGCTCAGGGTGTCCTGGCTCTGCAGCCAACACGGGGCTGGCCATCACCATTGCTGTGCCACATTTCTCTGCTTACGCAAAAAAACGGCATTCAGACCTCAACCAGATCCTGCTCATTGCAGCGCCAGGAGCTGGAATAGCACCTGCACTTTGACAGTCACTAATATTGATTAGAGATAAAAATAATTTTTTTTCTTGGAAAATGAGTTTCACACAGGCTCTCTGCACCTCTGGCTAACTGCCACACTGTCTGGTGTACATGCCGTCATGCGTTAACATTTAGATGGGTCGGAGGGAGTCGGTGTGAGGGCCAGAGGCAATTCCAGCAGGGAAGGGACTCACCCCTTCCAGGTGCAGAGATCGACGATCAGAAATCCGTTATCTTCATAGGTGTTGATGTGATGGAAGAGGTTGAAGGCCGAGGTGCGGTATTTGATGTTGAGGAGCTTGCCTTTCTTTTTCTCTGCCACGTGAAGCCAGACCTGAAAAGCAAGCAGCCAGCTTGGTTTAGGCTCAGAAAAACGAAGGTGAAACCAATACGATGGATGTCCCAGGCCAGGGCTGGCTGCCCAGTACAGCCCAGTTTGGTGGGACCTGCTGCTTACCCCCATGGTTTCGTTGGACTCGAAGCAGTCCATGTAGTTGGCTCCCCAAAGGCTCCAGGAGGAGAGGAACTTGAGGAGGTTGATTTTCACCGGTGTTTCGACAAAAACTATGTAGTTGGAGGTCAGCCCAAAGCTGTTTGGAAACGTACGGGGAGCACATGGAGCTCACTGTAGTTAGTCCGGACAAAACCCACGTAGTGGTTTGTCTTAAGCATTGAACAGAGCGTGCAGGTTGTCGCTAAGGTGACAGCAGTGTAAACATCCTGATTTTGGTAAAACACCTAATTTTAGTTGCTGATCATGTGCAAGAGCACGCCCTGCGTGCTGGCTCTGTAGAGCGACGCTGGACCTGCGTCCCCCCACACCCCCCCCCCCACCCCGTCGCGTGCTCGCAGCAGGGAAAAGGGGGGGACACTGCCAGCAGCCCCTTCGGCGCCCTCAGCCCACCGACCCCCCCAAAACCTCACCTGTGGACGTAAGAGGGCTTAAACCTGTCGCTGCAGGGGAACTGCACCACCACCTCCGACCTGTTCATCGGGTCTTCCTTGTCTGGAACGGGACAGGCGGAGGGTTAGGGAGGGTTTCACTCATACCTGGGCTGTATTTATGGCGCTTCCCCAGCAAGTTTCTGCCTTCAGCACCAAGGAGGTTCATGATTTAGGAACCACTTGGAAGTGTTTTAAAGATAACATTTCTGTTACTTCAAAAAAGCGAAAAAAAATTAAAGAAGGCTATATATATATATATAAAAAAAAAAGTATCCTGATGACAAAACTCATTTGAAGGGTAAAAAAAATGATTTATAGGACAAGATTTTCTCAGCTTGCTCAGAGGTGGCGTTAACTGACCTGCCTGAAGAGGAGGAATCCGTATGATGTTATAGGCGAGCGCAAAATTTTTTCCAAAGCAATTGCCAATGTTGTAAACCGTCCCGTCGTTTTCAATGTGGGGATGAGCCGTTGCCCCGTTGACAGACACGTATTTACAGAGATCCACCTGAGGAGCGAGATGGAGAAAGTCAGGAGCTTTCTCGGCAGGAGCTGGGAAGGCACCAGCTCCTCAAGGCGTCACAGGTCAACGCGTCCTCGCTTCAGACGTGGGAAGGTCTTCTCTAAGCCCAAACCACCGTCCGCTTTTGTGAAAAGAAGAGCAGCAGAGCAATTTGAGACGGTCGGGTGAGCTGACATGGTGGCAGGGAGAGGTTTGGGATCCTGGGGTCCCAAAGGAAAAGCTTCACGGGCTGGATGTTGGTAGCAGGGCAAAGAAAAACCTCTGAGCACGCACTGGGCGTCAGGTGCGGTTCTGCAGGGTGAGCACGGCCCGGCTCCCGTGTGAACAAAGGCAGCAGCACAGCTCTGGTGGGAGTCCCACGGTTACCGTCCCCTTCGGCCAGGCTGCAACCGAGCTCCAGTTTGCAAACCCTGACCCAAGCGTGAGGATACAGCCCACGGAGCCCCCCCCCACCTCCTCATTAAAAATTACTCAGAGCAGCAGCAGCAGCAGCGGGTTCATTTACAAGCTCGTTCCAACCTTGCTCTCGTTAACCCTCGCAGCTGGCTTCATTTCTGTGGCATCTCCCTGACAAACCCCAACTCCTGCTGTGTTGCAAGAGGCTGTTATTAAACATTTTTGTTTTAGTTTTACTCCTCTAGCTATTTAGCAGCACAGTATAAAGACCCACCTGCTTAATTGTCTCTAAGGTATCTGGGTTAATTTTGGTTATAAAGTTGGTCTCAGTACAGGCATAGTAATCCTCGCCGACGGGGTAGATGTTAACGAGGGCGTTATCAGTGACCTCCACACCTTTGAAGTACGAGAAAAACCTGAGCAGAGGAAAATGGACAGGCAGTCAGGGGTTTCCTGGTAATGGAAGCACCGCAGGGCATCGCTGCAATGTCTACATGACCCCAAGGTACCTGGAAAAGATGTTCTTGCACGGGTCTGGGTACGCGTAGGTGCCGAATTCCGTTATCACAATCCTTTTCTCAGTCATCGCTCTCACGTAGGCATCAGTCCTGACAAACCTGGGCAGGGCAAGAAAGCACACTGCAGGCGTAGCCATAAAAAAGCAACAGGCTCCGTAGCTCTGATGGGAATATTCTTGCCGTGAGCCTCACGAGGCCTCCGAAGGCTGCAGGTCTCCACAGCCTCATGTTGTATCTGGAGCGCGTGGGGTCCAGCAGCTGCCCCCCTCGCCCCCGGGAAGGGGGGGCTGGTGGGGGAGCTGAAGCTGATGGGAAATACAGTGCTTTGGCTAAATACTCTGCACCAAACACCTGGAAGCTGATAGCTCAGCAGCTGCTAACTGAAAACACATCCCAGCTTTCAGACGATGATGTAATTCTGTCACTGACTGCAGCTACATCCAGCCCGCCCTGCCCTCCCCTTCCAGATGTTCTGTAATTCGGACAAAAAGTAGCATTTCTGCTAACTACGAGGGAGTTTCAGTCATTTTTGACCTGTTTTAGTGATCTCACTGTTGAGCACTTCCAATAACCACATGGACTTGAAATAACCAGCACCTCCCATGTGCTGGGCAGCAGAGCCTGTCCCCAGCGCTTACAGTCAAGCAAATGCTCTGTTATTATTATTATTTTTTTTTTTTTTGGCTTGGAAAATTGCCACGTACCTTCGGTGATAAGTAACATGCCCCTCCTTGAAGTCGAACTTGTGGAGGAGCGCCTGGCCGTCAAAGAGGTGATAGAAGGGCTCCGAGCCCACCTCGAACAACCCGGGACCACATCTCAGGAGGCTTCCACGCAGCCAGGGGGGAACCCTGCCTGCGGAAGCTGCAGCGTTGGTACGTGCACGGCCCGTGGCAAATCAGACCAACTAATTGCGTTGTGTCAACAGAAAGAACAAAACTTCTTTTTCTTCCTTTGTTAAACTTGTTTTTTAAACAGGCGTGAGCTCTTGGAACTATGCTTTTTTTCTTTGTCTGCAGACTGATCCGACAAAGATTATAGCATGGTTTGGGCTGGAAGGGACCTCAAAGCCCCCCCAGTGGCACCCCCTGCCCCGGGCAGGGCCCCCTTCCCCCAGCCCAGGGGGCTCCCAGCCCCGTCCAACCTGGCCTTGAACCCTTCCAGGGAGGGGGCACCCACAGCTGCTCTGGGCACCCCGGGCCAGCGCCTCACCCCCCGCACAGGGAAGGATTTCTGCCTTAGATCTCACCTAAATCTGCCCTCTCTCAGTTTAAACCCGTCCCCCCTCGTCCTACCCCCACCCCCTGACCCAGAGTCCCTCCCCACCTTTCCTGTCCCCCCTTTTGTTGAGTATCAATACATCTACAGATCCCACAACCAATCTGTCCTTCTTCTACCCCAAAATACAGCAGCCCTGTTAGGTCCTTTCGCTCTGACCCCGTGCTTCAGCCCTCGGAAAGCCTCCGAGCTCCCGAGAGCCCGAACTGGGCAGGAGGAGATGGGGGAGCCCACACCAACCTGTGACGTGGGTGGTCACTGGAGAAGCCAGCTCCTCCACCGTCTCAAAGAGCTTCTTGTAGCCTCCAGCGGGATGCTCGACTCTGAAAGGGCCAGCAGAGCCGGGGTTAGCCTGGGTTTGGGATAGCTTTGGAAGCTTCCCTCCCCCATGGGAGTTTTGGGGGTTTGCCTTTGGTGGTTTTTTTTGGGTTGTTTTTTTTTTTTTTTCCTAGATGGATTCATCTGTGACTTGCAAATAACTGGAGAGATCCGGAGGGAGAAGCACCAGCTTTTGTGGGGGTAAATGCTCCGAGGGCTCTGACCAGCTACGGCAGCCGCCTGCGAACCGTCCGGAGCACACGGAGGAACAGGGAGCAGCGACGGGACAGCCCGTGCTGCAGCCCTGCAGGCAAAGCCCCTCACCCAACAGACAAATTCAGGATATCCTGAGTCATCAGGAAGCAAAATCCAACTTGTATCTCCCAGGTCTTGGATAAGCATTTTTTTTTTTTTTTTTTTTTTTTTGAGTGAAGTGTACTTGAGTAGCTAAGAATTATTTGTTTGATTCCAATTTTAACTACCGCAGAGCCCAGAAAGACGCACCAGGCACAGGTTGGGGGGGGGAAGCACTGTCCTTCCCCTCCAACGTACAGACCATCCTCTGGTACCCGGAGCTGACCCTGTCCCCCAGGGACCAGAATCATGCCTCAACACGGAATGGACCAGCACGGACACCCCCACACAGAGACACCCCCCCTTCCTCCTCTTCCTCCTCTCCAAACCACGCTGACCCCCAGCCTCACAGCAACTCCCCCCCCCAGCCAACGACGCACCACATCAGCCGCACGGTGACTTGCTCCTGCAGAGGAAAGCCCGTGGGGATACTCACTGGCTGTACATTCTCCCCCTGACGAAGGGCCTGAGCCAAGCACGCAGCGAGAGCCGGGGCGCTGGGTATTTATGGGGCGCGGAGCCCAGCCGAGGGGAACCCCCGCGCCCGAAACCGCCCCCGCCAATGAGCGCACCCCGCGAACAGAGCAGGCTTTCACCACCGAAATCCTCCCCGGGCTTTGAGAGGCTTTGTCTCGCCGTTCACACAAAAAAGGGCTTTGAGTGTGGGCTTGTTTGTTTTTTTTTTTGGAAGACCTAAATTCTTCCCGAGCAAAAGTGATTACAAAGACAAAAAAACAAAACAACCCAGAAAGGAGTGAAAGGGAGCGTGCTGGAATCCTGCTGGCTGCTCGGCTCTTCACCACAGCGCTGCGGGGAGAACTTCCCCACTCCCCGTGGACAGCAAGAAACAGCTCCTCCCTGCCAGGGCACCTCGGAACGGAGCGTCCCCCGGCCCTGCCCGCCTGCCCGCCGCCACGGGTGCTTCGCCCACGAGCCACGGGACGTTACAGGCACCCAGAGAGAAAGCGCCGGCCGGGTTCGAGATTATCATTCCCAGCTCCCGTGCACGTCAGCCAGCCGTTTTTCCCTCCGTCCTGGGTTTTTTGTGGAAGACTGTGTCTGTGAGCCTCAGCGCTCTGGTAGGCGTACAGGGGGTCTCAAGCGGTTCCCACCGGCCAGGAGGGCCGGGATGGCTGCTCGGACCGTGGCTGCACATGGCTCTCCACACACAGCCGTCCTCCCCCCCTTCTCCCCCTTGTCTCCTTTGCTGCGTTTCGGTGCAGGGGCACGTGCTAGCAGCTCTAGTTGCTGCATAAGGCAGATTCCTTCAGATTTAATGCGCATAAAGTAGAATTTTTACACGCGGTGTGTAACAGCCCCACGCACTCAGAAAGGCATCAAACCTTCTCGCCCTCTGTTTTACATGCAGCCACTGTCAGAGATGGCCCAAAGATTGTGTGAAGAAAATACCTTTAGTAAGAGTAGTTTATGGAAACGGTGGTGCTGTAAAGAGTAATGTCAAAGATCAACGAGATTAGAAAGATTATTGCTCTCCCCCTCACAGGCAGCCTACGGTACAGGATGAAGATATTTCATAATAAATACCACGTACCCTCAGGTACTCCTCCCATACAAATAGAAGCTGGGCTCTGGTCGTCAAAACTGTGGTGAAAGGAGAAAATTGGACATCAAACAGCCCCTGTGCTCAGTCTGCTACTACAACCACGAAGTGAAAGGTTGAGCTTCCTTCTGTGCTGTTGTTGTTTCCTCTTCATGAGCTCGAGGGGCTCCTTTTGGACTGAGGGTTCATTTAAGGCTTCTAACTGAAAAACAAGATACCAGGTTGAGCTGTCATGAGCTCCTTAACTGAGGCTTCCCATTAACCCTTCATATTAAACAACCTTAATTACATGGTAATTTGTCTGTGGAAGCATCCTAGCAATACATACATTCAATATAAACTTGAGTGCAAACTTAAGGCCTCTTAGCAGTGCAAATAAGATGGAGATTTTTAATTAACTGCAGGATAAGGACTCCAAACAGTGTCCTAATCATTGATGTCATGAAAATTCAGCGTCTCTATGGTGACAGAGTCCTCCCAGGCCCCATCCTCCTCCAGTGGCTCAGGAGGCAGAGATCCAAAAATGTCCCTGGCCCAACACACCAGCAGTTCAGTTTTCCTCCTTCTGCATCTTACCAGCCCTGCAGACCTGGCAGCAAGAGTTAGAAGAAGGACTGAAAGCACAGGCAGCCTCCAGCCCCTGCGGCTCTCCTCCCCTTCACTCGCCATTGTCGGGATGGGGGCTGCCTGCCAGCACCCCTCCCCAGCCCAACCAGTGGCTCAGGTAGAACCACTGAATCATCACAGCCTGGTTTGGGTTGGAGGGACCTCAAAGCCCCCCCAGTGCCCCCCCCTGCCCCGGGCAGGGCCCCTTCCCCCAGCCCAGGGGGCTCCCAGCCCCGTCCAACCTGGCCTTGAACCCTTCCAGGGAGGGGGCAGCCACAGCTGCTCTGGGCACCCGGGGCCAGCGCCTCAGCCCCCCCCCCAGGGAAGGATTTCTTCCTAATATCCAACATAAATCTGCCCTATTTCAGTTTAAAACCATCACCCCTCGTCCTACCCCCACCCCCCTGACCCAGAGTCCCTCCCCCCCTCCTGTCCCCCCTTTAAGCCCTGGGAGGCCGCTCGAAGGGCTCCCCGGAGCCTTCTCTTCTCCAGGCTGAACCCCCCCAACTCTCTCAGCCCGGCCCCCCAGGGGAGCTGCTCCAGCCCCCCCAGCATCTCCGTGGCCTCCTCTGGCCCCGCTCGAGCAGCTCCGTGTCCTTCTGCTGTTGGGGGCCCCCGAGCTGGCCCCAGCACTGCAGGGGGGTCTCCCCAGAGCGGAGCAGAGGGGGACAATCCCCCCCCTGGCCCTGCTGCCCCCCCTGCTCTGGCTGCAGCCCAGGGCACGGGGGGGTTCTGGGCTGCCAGCGCACGGGGCTGCCTCACGGGCAGTTTTCCAACCACAGCTTTGGTCTTGCTGCTTTAGACTGGTTTGGGAATATAAAATGGAAAGAAGACTGATACTGTATTTTATGTTGCAGAGCTCCAAGGTATTCAAGACTCAACATGGCCCCGAGTAACCCAATTTAGACAGACTCATTTTAAACAAGATTTGTACTAAATCAGACTAGATCTAAGGAAGAGATTTTTTACAATGAAGGTGGTGAGACACTAGCACAGTTTGCCCAGAGAGGTGGTAGATGCCCCCATCCCTGGAAACATTCAAGTCCAGGTTGGACGGGGCTTTGACTAACCTGAGCCAGTTGAAGATGTCCCTGCTCATTGCAGGGGGTTTAGACTAGATGGCCTTTAAAGGTCCCTTCCAACCCAAACCATTCTATGATCATATGATAAATGACCTCTGAAGGTCCCTTCCCACCAAAATTATCATCCTATGATTTTCAGTCTTTCCCCCTCCTTCCCTTAAAGTATTAATTTTGCCCCTTCTATCTGTCTGCTGCCCATATGCAGTTAAATTTGGAGTACAGAGTTGCATCATGACTCAACGCTGAGATTAGCCATTAACATTTTATCCCTGTAACCTCCTGGCTGTTTTCTACCAGTTGCTCTCTTGGAATCACCAGATGCCCCCGCACACTGGCCCACGCTAGACCAGGCAACTTCTGGCTTGACATGAAAGACCAGAAAAAGCATAAGACAGCATATAACCTACCAACACATTATAAAACTGTTCTTCCTTGCAACTAATACAACTAAAAGGAAGTTGTTATTAGCACTAATTTGCAAAAAAAGGTGCTGCTAAGCACAAGCAGCAGTATCTCATCCTGCCTTTGTGCAGGAAAGGGAGGCAAAATATTTATTTACCTCCGATTGCTGGCAGAGCAGGTGGTATTGCAGATGGCAATCACAAATAATAGCTCTAAAACACTTAAGCAGAAGAGAAGAGAGTTTTGGATCTGTGTATGCAAAACAGTAAGTCCATATTCAACACCCAAATAGCCTACTGTGACCGCACCTGAATCAGCCACACACTGAGTGACCAGCTTCTCATTTGCTCAAGACTATTTATGAGAGCTAACCAGAGTTGGAAATCACATCTCTGCCAAACGTGTTTTCAAATAAATGTAGTCCATTTCAAGTGAACTAAAATACTCCAACCAGCTCAAAGGTTTTAAAAAATGTCTAAGGAAGTTTATTATGAACTTGAGTCTTGCATAAGAGCGGCACGTGTGGTTCAGTGCTGGACCCTGACAGCGTTTTCTCCTCTCGAGTCAGTGTAAGGCAACCTTTAATCCTCCTTACAGTGCCAGTTTTCAGAACAAAACTGTACTGCAGGCAGTTCTGCTACTCCACGTTGTACACAAGTGCTAGGTTGCAGGCAAGCGCAAAGTCACTTCGGACGAACTGCTCCTCATACAGAGTTGCAGTTTTTGCAATGTGATACTTAAACAAAAAAAAAAAAACCAAACATAGAAGGCTTCTAGTAAAAAATTTCTGTCAGGAAAAAATGGTAGCTGCAAGAAAAGTTTAGATGAAATTTAAATTTGTACCTCGCACTCTCCTGGAATGTTTTAATTGTCCCATAGCTAGTCAGTTTGTCTATTTATTCACATTTTTAATAAGTTCTGCCAAAACCTTAGAAGGGAACATTAAATAACATGGAGCAAGAACTCTGAATAATGAGGGCAGTCCTTTGAACGCCAAATCCTAAGAAGTGTGAGCTTCTCGCCTAATAAGTTGCTTAACTGGAACACATAAATAAATAAAGCATTTATGCAACGCTTAACAGGTTGAGAATAATTAGAAGCAAGTTTAGGCAAGTACTGGATGTTTTAGTAGTTGACTACAGGCGTTACAGAAGATGAACATCTGTCACCTACTATGCAGGCATAAAGTTATCTACAGGACATTAAAGCATTAAATATACAGGCTAAAACCGGGCTAATATTGGTTTCTTGTTTACGAAGCCTTCCTCCTCATAAGGAAAAGAGCAAAATGATATCCTGCAAGATATGTATTGTGCCAGATATTAAAGTAAACTTCTGCCCTAGCCCCCCACCCCTGTAAAGCTAACATAAGGCTAATTTGGGGGGGGTGTGTGTGTGTGTGTGTGTATATATATATATATATATATAATTGTGTGTGTATATCTATATATACACATACAGTTAAGTATCAGATGCAGAATGGAAAAGGGGTTTTGCCTCATTTTTCCAGGGAGAGAACCTGAGAGAACTGAAGCACAATTTCATGGCTGCAGACCACAGCAGTTATGTACCAAGATGTCAAATATAAAAGCTACAATTCTCCACCAAGACCCTCATTTGTAACACCAAAGTTCCTGTCATGGCATATGAACTTGTACCAGACTATTAGGGAGCCTCCCCATGAGATGCCAAAAAAAAACCAACCAAACCAAATCCAGGTTAGAAGACAAGTAGTTGAGATTTGCTTTAACTTTAATGTTGATGACTGGTTTTATGACAATTACTGTAAGAGTCTGCACATGCAGGCACAATGACAGTTCAGTTTCTTGTCCTAGGAATGAGCACAACCTGACAAAGCTGAGGGATATGCCTACGCTGCAGAGCCCAGAACTGGGTAAGATAACCAAACAGCTCAAAGAGAAAGTATTCATCTCTAAAATAGCTGATTCCATAAAGCACCAGACTACTTAACAAAAAACCCCAAACAGAGAA